TGTCCTCCCCCACTTCACCTGAGCTCTGGGGGACTTGTCCCTTCCCAGTTCTGTGAGGGACTTTATATGAATCTCTTAGAATACACCTTGTATCCTAGTTCATCTGGTGATGTGAATTATAGGCTGGTGATCATTTGATCTAGGTCTAAAATCCATATATGAGTGAGTACATACTGTGTTCCTCTTTTTGTGACTGGGTTACCTCATTCAGGATGGTTTCTTCAAGTGCCATCCACTTGCCTGCGAATTTCAAGATACCATTATTTTTTTCTGCAGAGTAGTATTCCATTGTGTAGATGTGCCATATCTTCATTAACCATTCTTCAACTGAGGGGAATCTAGGTTGCTTCCAGGTTCTTGCTATTACAAATAGTGCTGCTATGAACATAGTTGAACAGATGTCTTTGTTGCATGGATGTGAATCCTTTGGGTATATGCCTAAGAGGGGGGATTGCCGGGTCCTGTGGTAAACTAATTCCCATTTTCCTGAGGAACCGCCATACTGATCTCCAAAATGGCTGTATGAGTTTGCACTCCCACCAGCAGTGGAGGAGTGTTCCACTTTCTCCACATCCTCTCCAACATAAGTCATCACTGGTGTTTCTAATTTTAGCCATTCTGGCAGGGGTAAGATGGTATCTCAAAGTTGTTTTGATTTGCATTTCCCTGATAGCTAAGGATGTGGAGCATTTTCTTAAGTGTCTTTCAGCCTTTTTGATTTCCTCCATTGAGAATTCTTTCTTCAGTTCTGTACCCCATTTTTTAAATAGGGTTATTTGGTGTTTTGTTGACTAGTTTCTTGAGTTCTTTGTGTATTTTGGAGATCAGCCCTTTGTCGGATATAGGATTGGTGAAGACAGGCACTCTTTGAATAAATAACATGCACACTTGCAGAGGGAAGCAGGTGACCCAAAGCAAAGGAGACAGAATAAAGGCAGAGATGCCAAGCTTTGGGAGGATGCTTAGCTACCTTGTTGACAACATTAAGACATCAATGCTTTGTAGCAAAGTAGCTACCATGTTGTGTCCATTTCATATGCGTGAAGATGATTGCAAAAATATGAAGAAGCTGCCTGATTGATTTTCCTCCTTACCAAGAAAGATTGTGTCCCATACATATAGGTGGAAACCTGAGATTAAACCTATTGGATGCTGACTCGGTTCAGCTTCCCTGGGCTCTGCCTTAGTTCTCAGGTGAGGAACAAGCCCTCCACACCCTTACCCTACCCATCAAATAATCAAATGGCTCTTTCACATCTTTCCTGCTGGGGTCTCACAAGGTCCATACCAGATCCACCCCAAGCATCTTAAATCTCCAGGGGTGAGTGGATTATACCCCAGGGAGTCCTTCCCTGCAGTGTGGACAATATTGCTGATTCTTAATATGTGCTTAATATCCTCAGGGGTCTACAGGCTGCTAAAGTCTTTTGATTTTCTTATAAGATCCAGAGGAAGCTCTCCACTAATGACCAACAGAAGCATTTGTTGATGAAAATTCTGGACAATCCTATTCATTAACAAACAGTTCATAGCATCGTGGGAGTGGCTACGAAGAATTCAGATTCCCATGTTGAGGTCAGTGGTCCATGAGGCCACTGGCTGCTATGGGCAAGGAAGCCTCTTTTGCAGTGGTATCCATGACTACAGGCTCATAACTAAGAATGAGAGACATTGAAGGCTTCTATGCCAACTTCCCGCCACCTCCAAAAACGAATCACACCAGACAGAAAACCATTAAAGGGGCTCCTTAAAACTTTTGATAAAGATGCTGAAGTGAGTGTAACTCTTCAAGACTGATGGCTTCTGGCAAAGAGAGGGGAATGGGGGAGGACTCAGTTGTCTCTGAGGCCAGTGAGTGTTTGACCACAGTCCAGTGAGTATATGGGCAACACAAATGGACTTGAGTGGTTTTCTTCTTTTTTTTGTGGGAGAGGGCACAAGCGTGGGAGGGTGGACCTGAAAGGAATGGGAAGCAAGTGCCAGCAGTATGCATTGTATAATATTCCAAATAAGTAATAGAAGTAATATGTTGGAGGAAAAAAAAAAAAAAAGGATGCAGATTCCCAATTGACTTAAATCAGATTTTCCAAATTCCAGGCTCAGAAATACAAGCTTGGCAAGTTTTAGAGGGGTCGGGTAAGGACTCTATATTGTAAGGACAATTTATCTGGAGTTTAAATATTCTTAGGAAACTGTTGGTGTGAAGCCCCAAGCCTCCCAGCTTTGAGATGGCTATCCAAAGTCTGCCAATGGCTGGGGAATCTCTGCCCCATGACTCAGCTGGGCTGAGGGGTCTTGGAGTAAGCAAGTAGGGATGACTAAGTGAAGAGAGCCTGCATGCTGCTTATGCTCACTCTCGATGTCATTCTCTGTCCTGCTGTGGGGACATCACATTGCTGGTAGTAAACCTACTTCTTCCCGATCTTAGGGTTTGCTGAAGAGTAGCTGAGACACCCAGCTCATGGGCTGAACAAGTGCTGGCTTCTTGACCTTTCCACCATGAGACAGCCATTGTTAGACTAGCTGGACCATAGCCTGTAAGCCATTCCACCAAGTCCCCTCTAATACATAGATTTCTCTAGAGAACCCTGACAAACAGTCTGCTCTTCTACAGTCATCATCAGAGAAGCTTCCTCCTGTAGCAGATGGGAACAGATACAGAGACCCACAACCGGACATTATGTGAGAGTAAGAGACCTTGGACACTCACCCCTAAATGATGTCTCCATCAAATCTGCCCACTCAGGGCTCAGGGAACTCTATGGAAGAGGAGGTTGTTAGGTCCTGTGGGGGATGTAAGACACCCAGTAAGCAAGGCCTTCTAATACAGTGTTTTTAAAAGTTGATGAGTCATGCTCTGCATACGTTGGAGCCCCTGTTACCAAGAGCATCTTGGTAGGAAGCGCTACTGCTCTACTGTGTTAGAGATGATAGCCAAATCTGGGGGCCGGGTTTGTGTCTCAGAAGGAACCTGGTGACAAGATCATGAGAGCAGAAGGTGGGGCAAGCCACCACCGAGGGAGGAGCTGATGAAGGAGGACTTATAAGTTTCCCAGTGCAGCACCATGGGGCCTGGCCTGCGCTTTTGCTTGTTTTGTGTTTGGTTGTTTATTTCTATTTTGAGACAGGGTTTCTCTGTATTGCTTTGGAGCCTGTCCTGGAACTAGCTCTGTAGAACAGGTTTTGCCTCAAACTCCCAGAGACCCATCTGCCTCTGCCTCCAGAGTGCTGGGACTAAAGGTGTGTGCCACCAACGCCCAGCTTTGGCTTGGGCTTTAAGAGGATAGGAGAGCAAGCACTTGGCCATAGTGCGTGGTTCATCACCTTTCACCTTCCCGTTCTCTTCCTCCATCATCCACTCCTTATGCTCCCTGACATCAACAGAAGTCACTTCATCCAACACCATTAGAGAAAACTGCAATTTTCCATTTCTCATCAAGCACAATAATTCATTGCCTGCTCTATGTCAGTCACTAGGGTACACAGAACAAAGCAAGGACTTTGCCCCCAGAGTCTGCATTTACTGGGAAACCATAAACCCTTCTAGCAAGGACTTATGACTCCTGCCTCACTCTCTAGACACTGAAGGATGATGAAGACTGCACGGGATTGCATATAACTGGTAACTAATTAACATCTGTAATCAAGCTCATAAAGACTTGTAAGAATTCTGTACCTTTCCTGGATACTTACTTTTATTCAGTTATATTCAGAGTAAGTATCTTTCCAGTATGTGGCTTGTCTGTTAATTATGTTAGATATTTGGCCCAAAGATTAACTTTTTAAAAAGAGTATCTACTGCCAGTATTGAAAGCAATCATTAACACCTTTACCTGAAGTCCTATGTCCTGGCATCATAGTGACAAGGCTGTGCTGGATGTTATGGTGACAGTTAACAAACTTCAGGCTCCACCCTCTAGAGCCTAAAGCTAAAGAACCAGGCGTTCAAGGTTATCCTTGGCCACATAACAAGCCAACCTATGAGACCTTGTCTCATAAAAGGAAGAAGAGGGGGATAGATTAAAATTTGATATCACCAAATTAATTTTTCTTTATAATTTTAAAGCTTTTTTTTCTTATTTGAGCAACTTTACTTGGCCTCAAAGTTTGAGATTTGTGACTCTCCACCTTTATCCAGAGTTTACATTTTTCTGAACAGTACAAGGTAAGAGCTTAATGTATCCTTCGGACAGAAATGCAATTTTCCAATATTGTTAAAGTGAAAAAAGTTTCCCTTTAGCACTTTTGATTCCTCGTGTATAACAAAACCCTACTACACATTCATTTTTTCTGACATTCTATTCCATTCTAGAAACCCTGAGATCTCTCTTGGCCGTATGATATTCCCTAATTAATGTAACTTTAAAAGGGTTCATATTTCAGTTATAGCGATCCCTGCCTCTCTAAACTTTCTTTTCAACATTTTCTTACTTATTCTTAGAAGTTTGCTCTTTTGTGTAAATTTCTAAAGTAGCCTGTGACGCTCCATGAGAATGCTAGGATCTTTACTGAAATGGCACTGAACTTAGAGACTAACGTCAGACTAGTCATGAATATTTATTTTTATAGATGAGAAAGAATATGGAGAAAGAGATAAAGTAGAGAGAGAGAAACGATATGAGCTGAGCATTTGTGCCTTGTCATGATTGTAATTTGCAACAATTCCATAAAATCTTAGTTCGTCTTTGACCGTCAATACATAACATTATCACTTTGAAGATTATACTCATTTCTGTCACAAATGGCATGGTGTATGACTTGTTATCGTATGTTCATTTCACTACTAATTTTTCAAACTTTCTCTCAGTCCCTGGGTCATGAGTTTTTAGAGTAGGATTCTTTGTTCTCACTCCTGAAAGTGTAGTTCATTCTCTCAGTCTGCATTTACTAGGCAACACAGTACCTACAGAAGGGTCAAAGTTCCCTTGGTGACAGTCAGAGCAAGGTCCAGTAGGCTTTTATGGCAAGGAGTCTTTGCTACATCCAGCTCATTTGCAACAATGCCTTGGACGAGACCTGCCCGTGGTCTCATTCTGTTCTGGTTTTCTGCCCACGTAGCAGCTGTATCGGTAAGTAGGTATCTACTTCTATGGAGTTTTTAAAGGCATCAGCTCTAGCCTAAGTTACCCACTTTGTGTACATTTATCTCCCTCCAGATTAAGCATCATTTGGATGAACATGGTAAGGAGCATTTCATATGCAATTTTTCTGAGTTTTCCTCAACAAAATTAGTAACAATTTTTCCTCATCTTTTTCTTTTTGACAGACCACAATATAGATGGCAAACAGAAGGATATTTCAGAAATCAACTTAGGTGAGCTTAATTTCTGAAATATTGAGACCTTGATATCCTTTGTTGGTTATTTTAATTAATTGATTGATTAACTAGTTTGAGACAAGGTCTCTCTGTGCAGGGCTGGCTGGAAATTGCTAAAGTAAACTGGGGTGGATTTCAACAAGCATCCAGCCTTCTGCCTCTACCTCCAGAGTACCGACAGGCACCACCATTCCTCACTTGAGAGGATTTCAGGCCCAGCAGATGATAGGATTGCCTTTTTAAGAGACAAGTTAATTGGTGCCTACTGGCATTAGAAGTTTCTAGAAAATGATGATGCCTAAGAGAAAAAGGATTACATTAGACTGTGTGTACGCTCATTTCAGTGCCGATGCATGCATGTGGGAAACAGAAATCAGCTTCTGTTATGGTTCTTCAGGAACTGCCTTTGTTTTTTATTTTTTTTTTTTTTTTGTTTTTTGGCCTGTGTCTTTCCAAGCAAGTTAGACTGACTGGTCAGTGAGACCCAGGGGTGCACATGCTTCTGCCTCTCTGTCTTTGGAATCAAAAGTACTCCTGGGTCTTCACTTGGGTTCTGGTACTCAAATCCAGGTCCTCATGCTCGCTCAGCGTTCATTTTACCAACTCAACTATCACCCAGGCACTAGGTTAGCTTTTTTTAAGAGAGATAATGAGCCCTAGTAGATCTAAGACTCCATAACCTAACATGTTTTCTGTTGTTGAAGATTTCATATATTCTAGTTTCCAGTTTGGAATAAAAGGGAAGCAGAATTGGCCATTATTCAACTTGCTAAAAATTATACAGAGTAAGCAGACAGTTCTTTTTTTAATTTAATGGGAGAGACATCCCAAGCATGGACTGGCTTGTCATATATACTGCTGATGAGGTGACTAGTTGAGAAGGCATAGAGAAGTGGGGGCGGGTAAATGCATTTCTGTTTGGAGTGTTTCTTTAGAAATGTGTTCATTGAGGAAGCCCACGCAGTCATCCATTACTGAGAGGAAAGACATCCAGGTTGCCTGTCTTGCTTCTGTGTTCTGCGTCTTGGGTTTCAAAGAGGCCTTTGTGTCTTGACATCTTTGTCTGGGGCTGGTGTCAGTGGAGGGACACCTGATCACTAACACCTTAGAGTTTGCATAGACATTCATATCCACTGTCACCGCTGTTGTTCTTTTGCTGCAGCTAATGCCCACAAAACACAAACACGAGGCTCAGCGCCCACATGGCGTTTATTGAGGGAAGGAAGAGAAAGGGGGTTAGCTGGTGGCCAACCAAAAGCAGGGGAGGGGGGGGGAGAGAGAGAAAGAGAAAGAGCGGAGAGACGGAAGGCCAGAGAGAGAGAGGGCAAGAGAGGGGGGCATGCTTGGCACGCTTGCTTTAAAAGGGGGGCTTGTGCATGCGTAACTGAGTCCTCTGGCAGCCAGGGAAAGCTTGAGCAGCCAGGGAAAGCCTGAAGAAGCGATGATTTGGCCATGAGCGTCCTGCCCATCGTTGGGGGTGGGGTCAGCAGACTGCTGGTTCCCAACAACCGCCATCCTGCAGTATGGAAAGTTCTGTTTCCCCTTTTGCAGGGAGGCACAGGACACTCTCCATGGTGAGAGAGCCTGTTCGCAGTGCTGCAAAGAGGCCTCCTCCTCCCGAGTGTGCTCCCCCTCCGTTTCTTGCTCCAGTCTAAGTGCTAGGAAATACACATGTTTGCACATAGCAGACCCAGGTAGCAGTATGGCTAAATGAGCATGAAGCACCCACAAGGAAATTTCAGCTCCAAATCTGTTCCTACTAATGGTGACTTTGCGATGGTTTTGCAGTTGGTTGTTATTTAATTTCCTGTTACCATGTAACCAGGTCAGGATTGACAGGGTTGAGTACATCCCTGGTATGTACAGCAGAGGCAGCCTTTGTCCTGGGGAGGTGAAACCATGTTACTTTCTCTCCCCCCCCCCCAGTTTTCTTTTCTTTTTTTTTCAAGATAGGGATTCTCTGTAGCTATGGAGGCTGTCCCGGGACTTTCTCTGTGGACCAGTCTGGCCTCGAACTCACAGAGATCCACCTGCTTCTGCCTCCCAACTGCTGGGATTAAAGGCGTGAGCCACCCCTGCCTGACTGCCTTACTCCCTTCTAATTCCCAACTGCTCTGAGGTGTCATTTGTAAGAAGCTATACACTTTGTAGAATAAGACCTCTGTTACTACAATGGGGATTATTCTCTGGATTGGTTTCCTAGTTATAAACTAAGGGCTATCCTCAGATTGCCGTGCAATCCAATGATCTCTTCTGAAGCTGCTTGTGTTTTAAAGGTAATACTGCTTGTCCACAGGGTTACAAAAAGTGGAGTCGTCAGTCTGGGAAAGTAACTCACTTGGTAGGAGTGCCTAGCATGCAGAGTCTGGTCCTCAGCACCCCTAATATGGGCATTGTCTTAGTTAGGGATACTATTGCTGTGAAGAGACACCGAGAACACAGCAACTCTGATAAAGAAAAATATTTAGTTGGGGTGGCTTACAGCTTCAGAGGTTTAGTCTGTTATTGTCATGGCAGCATTCAAGCAGACATGGTGCTGGAGAAGGAGCTGAAAGTTCTACATCTTGATCCACAGGCTATAGGGAGTGAGCTGTGTCCACAATGGGTGTAGCTTACAAAAATCTATGAGACCTCAAAGCCCACCCCCACAGTGACACACTTCCTCCAACAAGGCCTCACATACTCCAGCAAGGCTGTGCCTCCTAATAGTGCAACTTTCTATGGGCCAAGCCCTCAAAATCACACGAGACTATGGGGGTCATTAACTATGGGTGTCATTCAAATCGCCGCATTCCACTCCTTAACTCCCATAGGCTTGTAGCCATACAAAATGCAAAATGCATTTAGTCTAACTTCTAAAGTCCCCATAGTCTATCACAGTCTCAAAAACGTTTAAAAGTACCAAGTTCAAAGTCTCCCCGGAGATTCCTGCTATTTCTTAACTGTAATCCCTTGTAAAATTATAATAAAAAAGCAGATCACATACTTCCAACATATATACGCAGGGTATACATCACCATTTCAGAGTGGAGGAAAGATAGGATAGCGAGGAAAAACTGGACCAAAGCAAGACCAAAATCCAGCCGGGCAAATTCTAAGCTCTGCATCTCTATGTCTGATGTCAAAAGCCTCTCGAGATATCCAGCTCCTTTAAGCTTTGTTGACTGTAGCACACTTCTTTTCTCGGGCTGTCCCATGACTCTGGCATCTCCAGCATCTTGGGATCTCCAAGGCAATCCAGGCTTCACCTTTACAGCTTACCTGGGCCTCCATGCAGGGACACCCCTGTCACACACCCAGCCTCAGTGGCTTTCCTTTGTTTTGGTGGGAGAGTCTGAAACCACCCCACCCCCCCTTTCTTTAATCCTTGACTCCAAAAGCCAGAACCACATGGCTGAAGCTGCCAAGTTGTGCTGATTGCCGGGGCTGGAACATGGCCCCCTTGTTCGATTACATCTTCACCAAGTGTGTGTTTTTGATGGTTTCCTTTACCACAGAATCTTATCTATCTACCTTTTGTCTGGGAGCTTTTTATTTTTCTTTCCTTCTGTATAGTTTACTTTCACTGCTGCTCTTGTCTGTCTGGCAGCTGCCTGGCTTCGGGGTCTGGGTGCATCCCTTATTCTCTCCCCCTCCTTTTCTCATTCCTCTCCTGAGCCTAGATTTCTCTTCCTATTTATTCTATTCTCTCTGCCTGGCAGCCACATCTATCCCTCTCCTGCCTAGCTCTTGACTATTTAGCATTTTATTAGACCAATCATGTACTTTAGGCAGGCAAGATGAAACAGATACAACACATAGCCAAACACAATCCTTTTATCAATAGATAAATGCTGCATAAACAAATGTAACACATCTTTCCCTAGTTGAAATAACACTCCACAACACAACAGGAAGTGAACAGTGTCCTTGCTGGGCACAGCTTGAGCACATAGATGAGACCTCAAAGCCCAATCCAGTGACACACTTCCTCCTACAAGGCCACACCTACTCCAACAAGGCCACACCTCCTAATAGTGTAACTCCCTATGTATGGGCCAAGCACTCAAAATATCTATGGCGCCATATGTATTCAAACCAACACAATTATGATGGCCAGTGCTGTAACCCCAGCACTGGGAAGATGGAGTCAAGGAAATCTGAGTTCAAGGCCATCCTTGGTTATGTGGAGAGATCATAATCAATCTGAGCTATATGAGGTGTTTAAAAAACAAGAGTAGATAGAACACTCTAACTCTGGTCACTTAGTGGGAAGTGAGTGTTGTCTTGTGGTCAGTGTTAACAGTTAGTGATTATTAGGTATTTACTTGTATTATTTTGATTTTGTTGTTGTTTTGAGACAGAGATTCTCTGGGTAGTCCTGGAATTTGCTTTGTAGACCAGGCTGGCCTTGAACTCACAGAGTCTCTGCCTCCTGAATTCTGGGATTAAAGGCCTGTACCACCTGGCTGGTTATTAGGCATTTTGGCTTGGAGCATATTTTAAAGCACCTTTATAGGTATTATCATTTAATCCCCCCAAGTCTGTACAATTCAGAATATTGTGGTTACTCTTATAGTTAAGGGAATAACATGATAATAATTAATTGAAGGGCAAAACTTGAACATAGGCAGGCCTAGGTCATGCATTTTGTATGTGTGTATATGTGTGTGGGGTTCCAGACAGGGTTTCTCTGTGTTATTTTGGAGCCTGTCCTGGAACTCACCATGTAGGCTGGCCTCAAACTCACAGAGACCCACCTGCCTCTGCCTCCCAAGTGCTGGGATTAAAGGCGTGTGCCACCCCCACCAGCTTAGGTTATGCCTTTTTAATACTGTAAAATTTAAATTAATTAACTAAACATTATTTTTAAAGGTAAGTGGTGTCTTTAAATGCTTGGGAAGTTTTCACATGACCTTTTCATTAAAGAATCTTATTTTCAAAAGTCCCTTTTTGAGGTCAGGGTTAGGTAATCCAAGCAGTGTGTGGGGGTCCATTATGCTAAGCATTTGAAAACTAGGGCTTGGAGACATCACCCCTGGTACCCATCATTACAAGGACACTGCCCCTGGTTTATGCTTGGAGACTGCCATCATCCTCACAGGAGGAAATCAACTCAATGCATTTACCTAGGTGAGGTGGGGGTGGGCATGAAGGGCAGGGATGGGACACTAGTTGTAATGCTGACTTGGACAATGGCCTCCTGGCTCATGGCTTTTCTCTGGGCTCCATTTCTTCCTCTGAAGAAGGAAAGGTTTAGAGTACATGATCAACACTACCCCTTCGAAGCTATAAGGTTATTTTAGAAATGTTATCATTTTATTTATATAGATGTTTAGACTGAATCATATGGATGTGTACCACATGCATGCTTGGAGCCTACAAATGTCAGAAGAGGGCGTTGGACCCCCTGGAACTAGTGTTACAGATGATTGGGAGTTGCCGTGTGGGTGCTGGGAATTGAACCCAGGCCCACTGCAAGAACAGCCAGTGTTCTTAAATACCAAGCCAGCTCTCCAGGCCCAGTTCTAAGGTTCTTGGAAAAGAGTTTTTCTTCCAAAATTGAAAAGAGGGCATATCGATATATACTTATACTTACCAGTTCACGTTTACTCAGTTGGGGGGGGGGAATCACAATTTCAATAAGAGATAAATGACTGCATGTGATGAAAGATGCACAATAGCAAAGATTAATTTCACTGTGACCTGTCTTTTATTAATGCTCATTTCAAATATCCTTTCATTTTCAAATCCACCCAGCTGCAGGCCTGAACCTCTTTGAAGGAGACATCGTTCTGCCAGTGAGTGCCACCTTACCTTGGGAGCTATGACATCACCCCTCACCCCAACCTGCGCTTTCGGATCCATGTTGGGCACTGTAGAAAGAAAGCAAAGATTCCTTTATAATCCATACCTATAGGAACTTCCCCTGAGTTAACAGTAATAAAAAAAACACTAAAGAGAACAGAAAGTATACAATAATCAAGTGGTTTATCTATCCAGTTTTTCCCAGTTAACACAGACTAGGAAGGAAGTGCTCCCATGTGTCTGGAGGTAGTGTGCCAGAGTTAACAGTTACCTGGCCCTTTTATTTTATTCTTATTAATGCCCTCGAACCTCCAAAAGTTATCTCTAAGGAGTTCCTATTGTTTTTTATAATGAGGAGATAAATGCTCCGAGTTAGTCCTTTCGGTGTGAGTTGAGCGAAGGTTATGGCGGTAGTCACAGGTTTTCTCGGACTTTTTTGTTGTTGTTTGGTTGCTTTCCATTTTTGTGTCACACCTTAATCAGTTTACAAAGTAGCTGTTTCCCTTATGACATTTTTCATACACACTTAGTTTTGGTTGGCTCTCCTTCCCACCCACTGCTCTTCCGTCTCCCCAATCTCCATCCAGGTTTTAACCCTCCATCCTTTGTATTGTTGCCCTTTCTACTTCAGATCACTGGTCTTCTATCACCCTGCCCACCCTTCTCCCTCTTAGGCCTACCAAGATGTAGATATTAAACATTGGAAGCTAGGACCTACATGTGGGAGAGAACATGCAGTGTGTATACATCCACACATGAGAGATGAGGCACATGCATACAGTGGGATTTTACCCAGCTGTAAATAAGAATGGGAGCTGTAGGGAAATGGGTGGAACCAGACAGCATTACGTTTTCTCTTGTTCTTCATAGAGAACCAGAAATGCCCTGAGAGACTCAACAGCAAGATGGAAGTTCCCCATTCCGTACATCCTGGCTGACAACCTGGGTAATGGAAGTTGTTCTTAACTAGAAATGTGTAAACTTTTCTTTCCCCTCTCTCCTGGTCATCAGCTTCAGACCAATACATAAAGAGCCCTAAAGATTCTTTAGCTCTTGGGAAGAAAGCCATGGCTTTCTTTCAAGGTTTGGAGAGATGACTCAGTCAGTGAAGTGCTTATTTTGCAAGCATGAGGACTTGAGTTCAATCCCCAGCATCCAAGTAAAAACTCTGTCAGGCTGACTCATGCTTGTAATCTCAGTGCTTAGAAGGTAGAGGTAGGTGGGTTCGTGGGGGCCTGAGCTAGCCAGCCCAGCCTCATTCACAAACTCCAGGAGGAGAGACTCTGCCTCATAGTAAAATGAACTGCACCTGAGGAACAATACCCACAATTGTCTCCTGATCTCCACATGCTCGAACTTGTATAACACACACACACACACACAAGCTCACATGCACACACATTACTGCATATGTTAAAATGTTAGTAAAAATCAGAAACAACACAAAGAACAAAACTGTGAGATAAAAATTGACATCATAATGGTAAAATTTTGTACTTCATTTGTACAATGGCTGAGCTGGGTATAGATTGAAGACACTATTTCCAGCATATTGGTTTCTTTTCATTTTTCTTGTGAGAGGAACATCATATGTTTTGGAGAAATAAAAAAAATCATATATTAGCCCTTTTCCTCAACATTAATAATTTTGACTTTCTCCTTTCTCTTAAGATAAAGATCTGTATACCTTGCATTTTAGTCACTGACAGAAATATTAATTAGCAGTAAATGAACAACTATTAGATGCCTTGAACAGGTACTGGCTGATCCTCAAATAATTGGCCTATAACTACCATATGACACCTTGACCTCAAAACCTACTCTTCATTGATAGAGAAGATGAGAGAGAGGGGGAAAGCAGGCCAAGGTTTCATCATTTTTGGGGTGGTTGGGCTCTTCCCAACTCAACATATGTAGATTGTGTTTCAGTATTCCCGGGTCAATGTTATCAGTGTTGTTTCTAATACCTTTTCCAGTGAACAGGTTAAGAAACACCATTGTTCTCAAACGTTGGTTGGGAAACGAAGACATTTCCCACATTTCTCCAGCATGCTTATAATTTCAGAGTGCCCATATTCCCTAAAGCATGATCGAAGAAACCACCTTGGAAGGATTTTTTTTCAATGTCCACTTTTCCTTCCCGATTCTCTCATGTGCACCACCCCCTCAGGTGCCATGCGCAGTGCCTCTACCTGACGGTTTACTGAGGGTTCACAGTATCTGTGCCATGAGGACTGGGCTTAGCTGAGAACGTGCTTGCCTAGCCTTCAGGAAGTGCAGGATTGCACTCCCAGGACCCCATAAAGCAGCATAGTGGGGAACACTCACAAGCCCAGCACTTGACAAAGTCAGGAAAATGTCTTTGAATTCAGGCTTCCTAGATCTGTAAGATGATGTTTAAACAACCAAATGTGAGAACTATCAGGTCATTATTTTCTTGAATATCTCAAACATGTTGGGCTTGTTGATAGTTTCCTATTAGTTATTAAGGCTCTGTTCATTTTTTTAAAATAGTATTTTCTCTGTGACTCTTTCACTACCTCTAGTTTTCTCTTAAAATCATTCAGTGAACTTTCCATTTTGAATGTAATTCTGTATCAAGTTACTTTGCTTTTTGTTGTGACCAAGTACCTGACAAATTAAGGGGGAAGGGTCTGCACAGTTTGAAAGGTCTGTCACAGAGGGGAAGCGTGGTCGCAGCAGCCTGAGGCTGCTGGTCACATTGTCACGTTGCGCACACACAGGAGAATGGATGCTGGTGCTCAGCTCACTTCCGCTGTTTTATTCATCCCAGGACTCCAGCTCATGGTATGGTGCCATCCAGGCTCTGAGTGGCTTTTCTCACTACAGCTAAACTTACTTGAAATACCTTCAGAGTCCTAACCAGAGCCTTGTTTCCATGGTGATCCCACCAAATGATTAACTGCCGTGAATTCTGATGGAATTTCCATTTGATTCTTCTATATAAATTTTATTTCACTGCTGAGAGTCTGTGGTGTCCCCCTTTTTCCCTCAAATCCTTGAACAAATAAATACACATTGTCCTTTAAACTCTTGGTTAGCTTCAACATTTGAATTCTCCCGCACTCTGTAGATCACATTTCCAAGGTTGTCCCACATTGATGCTCTTTGACTCTATGTTGGAGTGCTGTGGCTATCACCCGTAGAGAGATGTCATGTGCTGTTTTTTTCCTTGTAGTGCTCTTCATTTTTGAATTACTGTGCCAAGAATTTGAGCAGCATTTTGAAGGCTTTGCTTTGGTTTTGGTCTTATTTCAATGCATATCCCAGAATACTAGGATGTAGGCTTGACCCCTAAGCCTCCTCAGTCTCTCTGGGGGGCTTAGTGGAATGCCCAAGGATTTTCCCAGCCCCTTCATCTTCATATGGCTCAAACTCCTTGTCATTGCTTGTTTCTCTGTTGCTATGATTAAGATGCTATGATTAAAATCAAAAGCAAACTGGAAAGCTCTGATTTCCTCTTACAACTCTCAGGCCATAGTCTGTCTCTGAGCATAAACTGGAGGCAGAAGCCATGGAGGGATGCTGCTCCCTGGCTTGCTCCCATGGCTTATTCAGTGTGCATTTTTTTATGCAACCAAGGACCTCCTGCTGAGGGATGACACTGCCCACAGTGGGCTAGGCTATTCCATATCCATGAGTAGTCAAGAAAATTCCCCACAGACTTGCGTCTAGGCCAGTTGGATAGAAGCAGTTCCTCCATGGATGTAGCTTCTTCCCAGGTTTGTGTCAACTCAATCAAAACCTAACTAGCTCACTCCTGACTTTTTTTTTTAACCTACAATTGTGGGCAACAGGTGAGGTGTTGCTCAGTTTGGTCAACCTTCAACATTCTACTGGCCAGTTCCCACCAAGATCTTTAGAGCTTCTCTCACTTATACCAAGCTTGTCCATTTGATGATATTTGTGGCATGCATGGCTTATTTGTTGATTGTGATCACCCCACCCCACCCCACCCCCTGCCTCTCAGCCTCTCAACCATAGCTCTTGATGTTCTTCTCCTGATTCCTCTTTGACTTTTCATCCACCCAGACTCTGACTCAGTCCCAGAGTCTTCTTGGAAGATGCCGGGAACTTATGTGGCAGATTTGTGCTTGCATTCAGAATTATGCTCGTATCCATCCTTTCTCGCCCTGGGAGTACCATTGAGCATCACTCAAATGTCCCCCTATTTAATGAGATATCCTTTTTTTTCAAAAATAAATTTCCTCTACTTTCTCTTCTAGTCATTTCATTTTTAACCTCGTTTTTTAATTTGTAACTCGATATGGAGGGATGTGTTAGATTCAAACTCCGCTACTGACAGTTTCAGAAACCTTCTCAAACAAATCCCCAGGTGAACACAGTGGGTTTTCCAGGCCACCACCTGCTATACACAGTCACCAAACACGTGAAGTCAGCTCTTATGTAATTCCATCCAGTGCTAAGGAGAGCTAGTGGCTGACAAAACAAGGCAAAGCTGTGTGTAATTTACCACATCAGGACCTTTTGCTCGGAATGAAGGTTACAACGAGGCAATAAAAATCTCTGTATACTGAAGAAGCTAACCCATGCAAATACTGTAGGCTCACACTCATGGAAATCAGTGTGGCTCTTCCAGTGAGGGTCATACAGAATGGCTGTATTTCCTTTTTTCTTTCTCAGTGATGCCAGGATAATTTTTTAAAACCATGACAGAGTTTCTAGTTCTCTTTTTATAGCTTGTTTAAGGGTGGAGGTGGGGAAAGGGATTGGCTTTCGTATTAGCCCCAGAAATTCCCAAGTCAGCTTAATGCTAAGAGAAAAAGCAAAGTAGGATGTGATATGTGTGTGTGATGGTCAAACCAATGTAGTTAGCACATCCATACCCCTAAGCTGTGTGGCAGCAGGCAGGCAGGCAGAAGAGCAATAGGGAGGGACCTATGTCCTGATCCTCAGGCAGGAGGCAGAAAGAGTGACTCTGGGTCAGAAGTGGGCTTTTGAAATCTCAAAGCTCTCCAACCCTGGTGGCCCACCTCCAAAGAGGCCACACCTCCCAGTCCTTCCAGCATTCAAACACATGTGCCTATGGGGACCATTCTCATTCAAGCTACATCATAGTGCAAATTGCCTTCAGTCCAACATTACTGTTTTTTAAAAAGATACTCTAAATATTGGTTCTGTCTCAGAAAAATAGTTTGACAGTTTTTAGGTTGACTCTTAGCTCTATTGACTTGATTCCTTGGTCGTGCAGACGTTTCTTAGTTTGTTATAACATCACATATACTTTTGCTTTTGAGGATCTTGCTCTGGGGTTCTCAGTCAAAAATCTACTGTTATCTATATGTTGAATTGATTCCCCTTTGCTGTCTTCTGGCAGCAATGCAGATATTCAGATTGTCCAGCAGCATTTATTGACAAACTCTTTTCTCCAATGCATGTTTTAGTGCAATGGAAATAGTATAGTGTCCAGAAATAATTCCATCAACCCTCTGTCTCTCTGTCTCTGTCTCTGTCTCTCCCTCCATCCCTTCCTCCCTTCCTTTCTCCCCCCCACAATATCTTACTCTGTAGCAGAGGTTGGCCTTGAACTGAAACCAATTCTCACAAGTGCTGAGTTCATACATGCGAACTGACCTGCCCAGTTAAGAACTATTTCCTTAGTGATGTTATTACCTTGTGACTCTCCAACCTGGTACTTATGAGAATCGTGATATAAATCATTTGGCAAAATTCCAAGGAATATACATATACATATATGTATACATATACATATATATTGTGCAAACCCAAGGATTTCATTTTGTATGACTTGGATTAATTTTTAATTAAGCTCTCTACCTCCAGTGAGTTGATGGTAGGGAAAAAGAATACAAATGAAGTGAAATATAATCTCAATTCCCTGGGGGTTCACTCCTTTTCTGCCCATCCTTGCCAAGGATAAACCTGTACTTGCACGATACTGGCTGGTTGGTCTTGCTACTTCCTACTGCTCTCATGGTTTCTTTGTTCCAAGAACACTCACACCTCTCTGAACTAGGCTTTCCTCCATCTAAGAGGATTAAAAAAAAAAAAAAAACAAAACAAAACAATGGGCCTTATTTAGCCCATGTTGGTCTTGAACTCCCAATCCTCTGCCTCCTCCTCCCAAGTGCTGAGATTATAGGCATAAACCAGCATGCCTTGTTTTCATGACAATGAGCATTAACCCAAGACCTTAAGCAAGCTAGGCAAACACTACCAGCTGAGCTCCATCCCCAGCCTGCAAGGATGTTAGTTCAGTGTGGGGGTAGGACCACTATTTCTGTAGCTTCTATCCAAGATGCTGCACCCACACATTCAGAAGTCAGAGTGACTGAAACCCTTATCTGTTTCCTGCCCTGCCATATGACTCTTCTCAAAAAAAGCTCTGAATGAAAGAAAGAAGAAGAAAAAGGAACATATTGTTCTATGGTTTAGTTCAGTTTTATACTCATGCATGAGCTACTGCCCTGCAGTCCTATTTGTGCTGATTTAAATTATGAACCAGTACTATGTATGCAACTAACTGAAAATTTAGTTTCCAAGGAAATCAGTTACTGCCAAAAAAGGGTGAAGAAGAAGAAGGAGGAGGAGGAGGAGAAGATTTTCATGGAACCTCTGTGTATTTCATATCAGTGGTACAGCCTGCTGTAAACTATAAGCTATGTCTGTTATCCAGACTCTCAATAATGCCTGTCAATGTTTTACAGATCTAAATGCCAAAGGAGCCATCCTCAATGCCTTTGAGATGTTCCGCCTCAAGTCCTGTGTGGATTTCAAGCCCTATGAAGGAGAGAGTTCCTACATCATCTTCCAGAAATTTTCCGGGTAAGTATGGAATATTATAAAGCATGAAAAGAATGTATCCTTCAGTTTGTGAACTGTCACACATCTATTTTGAAGGCTGAAAGAAATGATAAGAATAAAGCAAAATCATACCCTCCGCTGTTCTCTTAGCTTCCGAGCCAACCCTGTAGCCTTGATATTCGTTCTTGTGTAAGTAGCATTTGAATCAGCATTCAGAGGTACACAATGCTAACAATTTTAGGGTTAATGGGTAGGTAAGACAAGGCAATCACTTCCAAGCAACTTACAATCCCCATGCAACACTGAAATCTACCGGCAAAGCCCTTCTTGTGGGTCCAGAAATCAGAATGTAAAGCCAAAAGATCATTTGTGGAAAAAATTCTAGGTTTGCTAACAGAGGAAGAAAACTGAATTTATGCAAAAAGACAAAAAAAAAAAAAAAAAAAAAAAACTTTGGAAAAAGAGGGTGAAGTAATTCCATGGTAAACTTAGGGAGTCTGTTCCCCTAATCCGACAGTGTCTGGGACACCTTTGGGGTTCTTCTTGGTAAGGGTCCCTCAGAAGCAACGTTGGCAGTGGACTTGGTGGCTTAGTGCTGCAAACAGATTCCTAAAAGGAGGAAGGATTTATTCTGGCTTGCAACGTGAGAAGGAATATGGTCTATGGTGGTGAGGAAGGGAAGGCATGGAGACAGGAGGGTAAGGCAGGGGACATTGCATCCTGGGAAGCAGACAGGAAGTGATGGACTATAAAATCTCTAGGCAGGTTGTCCCACTTCTCCATAAGACTCTACCTCCTAAACCAGCGGTCCTCACTCTTCCTAACACCGCAACCTTTACTACAGTTTCTTATGTTGAGGGGACCCCTCCAACCACAACATTATTTCATTGCCACTTCATATAACTTTGCTACTATTATGAATTATAATGTAAATATCTGATACACAGAATCTCTGATATACGACCTCTGTGAGAGTGTCGTTGACCACTCCCCCCGCCCCCCCCCCCCCACACAAAAGGGGTCATGACCCATGGACCTCTCACTGTCCTAAGGTTTCCATAGCTTCCAAAACAACTGAGGATAAACATGGGGGCCTGAGTGGTGCATTTCATGCTCAGCTGTCCAACAGAAGGCAGGGAACATTCCATGAGTGGGGGATTTCGGGAATCGGCCAGAAGTTCACTATGCTGCTAGTCTCTTAGAGAAGTTTTGGATTCTTCTTGCCCGTGACCCTTCAATAGGAGGTAGGCAGTCTTCCCTGTGTGGTCAGACTACATCAGAGCTGTGAACTTCTGTACTTATTAACTCAATTTATCATGGATACTCTTCACAAACATGAAATTTGCCTGGGGATTTGGAAAACCCCTAAAGAGAGAATTTAAATCAGCCACAACTATCACTAAAAGGTAGTATTTTAATCTACAAGCAATAGTGCTGTTTGGAGTGTCCTGTGGCTTTTATGAAGGGGAGGAGAAGGCCAGTTTCCTCTCCTTGATGCCTTGTTATGGCAGTTTGCCTTCAGGGAAGGGTGACTTTTCAGATGCTTATCACTCTAAACTGGCACAAGAAAACTCAGAGGTTGCTTGTGGAGGGCATCCCACACTAAACTCTCTTCTTGTCCTTGAGCCAGCAACACGGGGAAATGCTTTATTTTCATTTTTTTTGAAAGTTCCTCTTTAAGCTTTTTGTTTTCAATTGATCCAAGCAACTGTATACTCTAGGGTTGAGGGGCCATGCTTCCTACATGTGTATGATCAACTGCTCCTTAGGTACAAAGTTGTGGCTGGTTCAGAGGAGTAAGTTTTGATGCTCTGATGCATAGTAAACTGCCTAGGGCTGGCAAAACTGTATTGGACATTTCCAAACAGACAGAAGAGGCTATTTTGAATGAGCCTGCAGCCTCAGTACTTAGATACTTGAGATTCTGGGTAGCCAGGTTGCTTTGAGATCCTGTCTCTGCCTTCCAACTTCTGGGATTATAGGTTCTGGTTCTCTCCCTCTCCTGGCTTTCAAATGGATACTGGGGATCTGAGCTTTTGTCCTCATTACACAACAAGTGTTCCACTAAGCAATCTCCCCAGCCCCTAACTTAAAAAAAAAAATCAATCTCAACTTTCTCAGCGTAGCGATTTGAAACACAAGAATTATATTAACATAACACCTCTGTGAAAACATCTTCTTCCCCTCCCTCTTTAAAGGTGCTGGTCTATGGTTGGCAATCAACACGTGGGGCAAAACCTTTCTATCGGCCTTGGCTGTGACTATAAGGCCATCATTGAACATGAGATCCTGCATGCGCTGGGATTTTACCATGAGCAGTCGAGGACGGACCGGGATGATTATGTGACCATTTGGTGGGATGAAATTCTTCCAGGTGTGTATGAACCCAGCATTAGCTGCCATTGTCCCAGCGGCTTTGTGGGGACATCTGTGAGAGGCCCAGGCTCACCCCTGAGCACAGACGATTCAGCTTCTCCAGTGGGAACAACGGCTGTGAGGAAATAGCAGCTTGAGGATCTCTCCTTGGACTGTGTTAACATGGTCACAATTGGTGCCTAAATGGGAGGATGGGGTGACGCACTGTGGGGGGCACTTGAAAGATGGAGTATATGCTTTGTATCAGTATTTTGTTAAAAGTCAGCTAAAAGTATTTTCTTGTTGTGCTGAGTAAAAGGAATTAAATTTCAGAGGACATAGGTCTGTTTTCTGCAAGGGTAAGGAGGCATGATGACGATGACCAGAGAACACACTCCAGAGGATTTGGTGTGTGTGTGCATGTAGATGTGCATTCATGTACATATATGTATATCTATTTATATGTGTATGCAATTTATGCACATATATTTGTACGTGTGTGTACATGTGTATCTCTATGTGTGTGTGTGTGTGTGTGCGCGCGCGCGTGCGCGCGTGCACACGCGCATGTGTGCACTGGCTAGTTTTTTGTTTTTTCAAGATCAGGTTTCCCTATGTAGGTTTGGAGTCTATCCTGGAACCAGTTCTTGCAGACCAGGCTGGTCTCAAACTCAAAGAGATCCGCCTGCCTCTGCCTGGAGTGCTGGGATTAAAAATGTGTGCCATCAACGCCCAGCAGTGACTAGTTTTTATGCCAACTTCATACAAGTTAGGGTCACTTGGGAAGAAAGAATTTTAGTTGAGAAAATACCTCAATAGGATTGGCCCTTAGGCAAGTCTGTATGACATTTTCTTGATTGTGACAACTGACACAGGGGGAGACCGAGCCTATTGTGAGTAGTGCCACACCTGGGCAGGCAGTCCTGGGTGGATAAGGAATCAGGCTAAGCTAGCCTTGGAAAGCAAGCCAGTAAGCATCCTTCCTCCATGGCTTCTGCTTCGGTTCCTGACTCTGCGTTTCTTTCGTGACTTCCTATAAGGACAGACTGAGATATGGAACTGTAAGCTGATGTGAACCTTTTTCCAGTCATATTGTTTTATCACATCAGTAGAAACCCAGCTAAGACAACATGTATGTTTTTGTGTGTAGGAATGTATGTGTAATATGCGATGCATATATGTATATGTACATGTGTGTGTTTTTATATGTGCATGTGTATATGTGCTTTAATGTTTATGCACGCATACAGTATGCATATGTATATTTGTATATATATAAATACACACACACACACATATATATATATGCATGCATTTTTGACTTAGTTCAGGATTTGGAATAGTATTCTTTCAGATCATAAGTAAATAATGAAACTTTACTATGTTAGAATTGGCTTCACTCAGCACATATATTTTGGATAAATAATTTCCTTGCTCAGGTACTTTTATTTGTATTTCAGTTTCATGCATAGATTCGTACATGACAGTGTATAGGTAATAATTTGACTTTTAGGGGCTCATGAGAACTGACCAAGCTTTAAAATTAAATTTGAATCCAGAAAGACTCATATCAGCTGAGCCCACTTGTGGAAAAATGGCCAGGAGGATGGATAGAGTTCCTTAATGTATCAGCCTCCTCTGTGTGGTTTCTCAGCTTGTGTCCCTCCAGCCCATCATATTCTGATAATTCCATGAATGTGTAATAATGGAGAAATAACAGGAAAGCTGTAATTGTAAAAGTCTTATGTGTCATCAGTACACAACACACACACACACACACACACACACACACACACACACACACACACGTCAGCTCATGCTGCCATTTAAGCACTGAGGCCAAGCAGTTGTCTTAGTTGAGGGTTCCTTGAAGCTAGCTTGGGAATCTACTTCCCAGTGATGCAAGTTCAGACGAGACTTTATGTGCTTGGCTCTCAGACATGATTTTACTATAACTGGGTGTGTATGGGGGAAAGGGGAACGGACTCACAGGCATAAGTACTATTCACTGACTATGAGACTTTGAGTTCTCCTTGAACTTATGTTTGTCTACAGGTCTGAATTTCTTCCCTTCATACTCACATAGTTGGCTTTGCTGAAAATTTCATTAGCAATAAAAAAAAATTGCATTTCTAAGTTTTGAGGAAAATAATATACAATGTCTTTTAAAGGCAGTCTTAAGGCAAACAATGTCCATTAATCAGGGTTAACTCGTGCTGCTTGACTTAATCTGCGGATGTGTTCAGTGCTGGCTGAGCCAGGGTGGCTTAGCGCACAACTACCTCACACTTCTATTTGCATCATATAGACTCCATATATCCAAATTACCTGCAATCACTGGATTACTGTTCTCCAAGGAGACAGCAAACCCAACAAGCAACAAAGCCAGCACAAGTCCCAGAGTCATTTGGGCCTTTTATTGTATGTCATCTGCTGTCCCCATAGCCTTGAGTTTAACCCGAAGCCACCGTAATGACTATGATGTGGTTTTTGCCCCCATTCTCTGAATCAAGATTGTTTCTTCTTTTCCACTAAGGAAAAAGATTCAACTTCTGAGGTCTAGGACAAGTTGGCAAGCTATAGTCCAAAGATACATGTTGCTGTTTTTATAACAAGAAAAACAAAAACAAAAACAAAACAAAACAAAAAAAAATGATCAAATGCATTGCACCTGAATATCCTCTCCACGGAGGAAATTCAAAATCTTGCAACCCTTCCTATCTGGATAGAAAATTATTGGTGACTGGCCAATTCCAGGACATTGATTAATCTATATCTTATCTTTTTCTTACTAATTAAACTTCCATAAGTTACCTTTGATAGGTAAATATTTTTTATTTCTATCAAGGGGCGTGAGCTTTGACTGACATGATTCTTTCTTGGCAGACACTCACCTTTCCCTTTGATCCTTTGATTTCTTATTCCTAACACACAAAAATGCTGGTCAGGTAGAAAAATGGATAGACCTGGTGATGGGTGTACTGGTTCTTAGGGAGATATATCTTAAACAAAATCCTGAATATTTTCCTTAACTCAAACTTTTTCTTTTCTTTTGTTTTCTTTCTTTCTCGCCTTGTATTTGCTATTTTACTTTCTAAAGGCCACGCACATATATACACTCTCATACAATTGCATGAAGTACTTGCAATACATAATAATATATAATATATAAGTACATATATTAATAGAACATGGACATTTTATGGTTGTTCCAACAATCTTATACATACTGTTTTACAAAACACTGTATTATGACACCAATGGATTAATACTAATAGTCAACAATGTATATTATTTTATATATTCTAAATGTAAGATACATATATAAATGTATGTTAACTAAAGATGCAGTGTTTCCATTTTGAGATTTCTGAGTATCTGGACACAGAGGAAAATTTGGAGAAGACAGCATGGCTGAGTGGTACCTAATGATTCTCTCTCCAACAGACTATGAACACAACTTCAACACTTATGATGACACCAACATCACAGACCTTAACACACCCTATGATTATGAGTCCCTGATGCACTATGCACCATTTTCATTTAACAAGAATGAAAACATTCCAACCATCACTGCCAAGATCCCTGAGTTTAACAACATCATTGGACAGCGCCTGGATTTAAGTGCCATTGATTTAGAGAGACTAAATCGAATGTACAATTGCAGTGAGTACCTCTGTGACTGAGGACTGGCTAAAGCAGCTTGCCCTCAGCCTCCATTACTTTTCTTGAATGCTCTGCATAGCAGCCAGATTACATAATCTTAAGCACTCTCTTTTTAGAAAAAGACATCCCATACGATGCTTGTGTCGTATGCCATGGCTTATAAGGTAACAGTATTGGCCAAATACAAGGAGCTCTTAGTGTCTAGTTCCTATGGCTTCCTTTCAAAGGGTGAATAATTATGTAAAGGTCAAGATAGGCAACTGAAATTGCAAATGTGTTGTGCCTTGCAGAGCTCTTTCCTTGGGTTATTCTTAAAGTTCTCTAAAGCTTTGAGATGGAGGCATTTTCCAATTGTGTTAAAAAATGTACAGGGGACTAGTGAATACAGAGTCCATTGAGCTAGCTGCCTCATCCTTGGCCTTGAATTCATGTTGGCCTGCCTAGAAAGGAATGATTGCAGGTCTTTATTCTGGCTCTCTGAGATACATGGTTCTGTTTCTATGTTCTAAGAGAAAACCAGTGACAGTAAGAACTGCATTTGGGAAAACTTCAGGAAAACACAAGACACTCTCCGTGATTTTGTTTTATTTAAACAGTGGCATTGTAGTGGCTTAAGGCATTAACTATTTGGAATGAGATACCTTACATTTGTAACTGTGTGTCAACAATATCATATGTAGCTTCAACCCACACCCTGTTGGACCACTGTGCCTTTGAGAAGACAAACATCTGTGGAATGATCCAGGGGACCAGAGACGATGATGATTGGATCCATGAGGACAGCAGTCAGCCTGGAAAAGTTGATCACACCTTGGTGGGACAGTGCAAAGGTTGGTGATAGTAAAAAGTCATCACCCCGAGGTGATACATTTTGCCTCTGGGTTATTGTGTTAATTATCAAACCTGAAAATCTCAACTAGGACAAAGACTATTTCTCATATCTTAATCAATTAAAAGTATCCAGGCTGTGCAGATGCAAGAGAACGTTGTAGTTAGTCCCCACCCCTGCGGGCAGGCAACCTTAATTAGACTCAGTAGGTGACACAAAATAAATGACTTGAAAATAGGAGGAGAATGTATGGGAAGAAGTTTCCCAGGAGTAGGTATAGGGTAGTAGAGGATGCATATTATCAAAATTTATTGTATACATGTGTGAAATTGCCAAGGAACCTATTTTAAAATAAAAATGAAAAGGAAAGATGTATGATAACCACATCAAAACTATTTAGGGAATACGTGGTTAATAACAGGTCTTTATAATGGAGTGTAGTATTTCCAAGTCAGTACCCACCAATGGAAATACCATGCTAATTGTAGGTAATGTGTACAGTTTGTAGTAGTCTCATAAAGGGCAGAAACAGGTAAAATTCATTTTGATTCATAGATACTACTATTATTATGTTGAACCACCATTAAAATGCCTATGAGATACTTTAACTTTGTGTAGGAACTATCTAAATTATTAATCTTAACAATGCTTCTCAGTTTATACTGGCCTCACTCACCTTGAGTCCTTAGGGATTTGTGTGATACTTGGTGTACTGGCAGCAGAAGGTCAACTAATTCATGTATTTGCTTTGTTTACTGAAAATCCATAAGGACAGACAGATTTCAGTTTGAATTGCAGCTCCATCACTGACTTATGGGGGATGATAGGAAATTGTTATTGTGTGCTGCTTTTCTTGAAACATCTTGGGATTTAGAAGGCTCACAAAATACCAAAAAATACTCAAACGTCTCAGAGGGATGGAAGAAGAGAGGCTTCCAAAGCCTCTAGCTGGAGACCTGTAGCTTACTTCTCTCACTTTCCAACTTTCCCTTTCTCTAGTGAGGCTCTTTAAATTTTACTCACTTATTTCTTTGTCTATTTGTTTATTTATGAGACAGAGTCTCCTGTGGCCCAGGATAATACAAGCTTGCTACTCAGGGCACAGTGACCTTGAACATCTGATCTGCCTGTTCCACTTTCCAAGAGCTTGGATAATGGGGTACATCATCACAAACGATATATTTGGTGTTGAGGACTGAACTTGGGTTCAGTCTCTAGAACTACATCTCTATCCTGTTTAAAGTTTTTTTTTTTTTTTTTTTTTTTTTTGTTGTTGTTGTTGTAGCGTCTGTTTATCATGTGCCTTTCATGGAAGTCACGTCAAGCCTCTCTGAAACCAAGTGGGCTATAGAAGCCCTTTAAAGGCTAGACTGTTGTACAGTCCCTTAGCCCATGTCAGCCTGAGAGTTGATTATATTTCCTTGCAGAGGAATCAGCTAATTGCCAGGCCACCAAGAAGAATGCCAGAGATCATAAACTATTGTACTTTCCCTCTGACCCTGGCCAAGGATGAAAGTGTCTGTCACACAGCATCTACAGGGTGATCAATCCTGAGGTTATAAGCTGTCATTGTAACCTCTGGTTTGTTCACCCCCATGGGTTCATTACTAGGCTAATATTCAACTTCCAGATGGATAAAGAGATTACTGCAGAAGAAGAACCTTCTGGGAGAATGTTCTAGATTCCCGTTAGGAAGGAACCACACCCTAAAAAGAATATATAAGGAAAGCTCTAGTGTTTTAACTGGACCCAGGCACAGAACTCACCTCCCACTGAAACTCACCAATAGGGAACAATGTCCATTCAGGCTAGCTGGGGTGTGGATTCAGACTTTTCAGGTCCTTTACATGAGTTATTTGAGTTTTGTTTCTCAACTCTAAAACTAACATGAGCTCAACTTTCTTCTTCAATGTTACTCCAAAGTTTTCCTTTATATTCAGGGAAAACCCTCAATTAGCACCTAGTATGTCTGGAATGAACCATTCCATGGAACAGTAGAGACGATTCTTTACCAGTGATAATAGACCTAATCTGTGTGGTTCGAAACAACAGTTTCAACACTCATTGCTATGGACATTTGAAACCCAAACCATAAACCTGAATTGTTTCTTACAAATTTGAGGAGATCAACTCTTTTATTTGTAACAAATCTATAATTTAAACTAGGAAGTTGGCAAGGAAAATAGAATTCATCTCACAAATTTTGATTGATGCCTGTGTAAGCCAGACATTTGCATTTTACAAACCTGGGGGAAAAAAGGAAAATAAAGGAAATGTGCAAGTTGGGATCCTCTGTAATTTTAGCATTCTAGAGGCTAAAGACAGGAAGGTCATGGGTTCAAAAGCAGCCTGGGCTACACAGAGAATCTCTCCAAAAGTAAATATAAATAAAATAGAGAAATGTGTTGGTGTTAGCTAGCTAGTAACTATATCTATTGAGAGAGGCTGTTTCCATTTCTATCCCTCAGAGAAGTTCTAGCTTTGAATGCCTAGATAATGGCTATTGTTTCCTAATTCACTCTGTCTGGGTAGATGATGGTACTGCATCGCAAAACTCACAGAAGTCAGAGATGAGATGTTGGCTTCTCTCTCTACAGGTGCTGGCTACTTCATGCACTTCAATACCAGCTCGGGGGTGACAGGAGAGGTGGCCCTTCTGGAGTCTCGGATCCTTTACCCCAAGAGGAAGCAACAGTGCCTGCAGTTTTTTTATAAGATGACAGGAAGCCCTGCAGACACACTCATTGTCTCGGTGAGAAAGGATGATGGCACAGGCAACGTTAGCAAGCTGGTCCAGATACAGACCTTTCAAGGTATCTAGAGCCATCACAGAAGGACTGGCTTGTAGAAACCTGGGGCTTTGTAGTGAGATATCCACCCTGCCCGCACCTGTTGCACTGACCATGCCCATTGGGGTGTGGGGACAGGTGTGGGCATGACCTGTGGGGGAGTAGGTCTGGGGTCCCGACCCCAGATAGCTCTCTTACTTCCTGGTCGGAGACAGAGAGCATCCGGAGGCATCCTTGGGATGGGAACCCGAGGTGATCATCTGTTTCTGGTGTAAGTGATTTCTCCCCAAATCAACATCCATCAGCCTATCATTTCGCAGATTCTTATTTCCCTCTCTTTAGGGCTGTGATCCTCTTTCTCCAACTTCTCTCTCCTGGAATCTTTCCATCCTTTTCTTCTCCTTCCATCCTTCCTCTACTTTTTTTTTTTTTTTTTTGCCTTCCTCCTTCTCCCTCATACTCTGCTGTAGTTGGAGTTTCTGTCCAGCCTGGTCCCACAGCTGATCAGCCCCCAAATAAACACACAAAGACTTCTATTAATTTATAAACTGTTGGCCGATGGCTAGGGCTTCTTACTGGCTAGCTCTGTCTTAATTATTAACCCATAACTACTAATCTATGTATTTCTACATGGCCTTATCTCACCAGAGAATACCTGGCCCATTCTATCTTCTCAGTCTCTACATGGCATCTCTCCCTGGTGGCCTTTCTCTGCCCCCTCCCCAGAATTCTCCTCATCTCATAGCCTTGCCTATACTTCCTGCCTGTCTAGCAGGAAGTATTTATTCATCAGTCTTTATTCATCAACCAATAAGAGAAACATATATCCAGAAAGACATCCCCCATCACTCTTCTGAAAATCTACCATAATCTCTGGCATATTTTACCAGAATGCCTTAAGCACATGGAAATTAAGGGCTTAGATGATGCTCTAAGTTACTTCTAGAAGACGCCATATGAATACTCAAATCTAAGAAAGCAGACTATTCAGAGGCAGAGATGCAAAAGCAAAGAGACACTAAACAATTGGCCATAACTGGTTTTGATTCTGTTTCAGTAAAGCAAAATGACATCATTATTAAGACACTGAAGTGCTTTGAAGTCTCCTTCATAAGACTTCACAAGTAGGTTCCAGTTACTTCAGCAGGAACATAAGCCATTTAATATATAGACTCCACTGGGGCTATTTGCATGCTAAGTGTTGTTCTCTGTGTTACTAGGAGTCAAAGGGAAAATCTTTCTAAGGTAGGCAGTAGGACGTGAGGGTCACCAGAGACAGCTCTTTAAAGCTAAATATTTCTGGGCTTGTTGTTGTGTCAGTGAGTCAGAACAAGTAAGGGAGCTAAGCTTTCCCTTTCCCCACCTAATAAAGAAGCCCTCAAAATGAAAGTAGGTATTGTTTGCCTTATATTAAACAGACTGCTACTTTTTTTTTTTTTTGAGATAAGGTTTCTCTGTATTGCTTTGGAGCCTGTCCTGGAACTAGCTCTGTAGACCAGGCTGGCCTCAAACTCACAGAGATCTGCCTGCTGCTGCCTCCCGAGCACTGAGATTAGTGTTTGTCATCAACGCCCGGCCAGACTTCTGCTCTTAAAGGGAGAAAATTTCCTGAGATGTCTTTGGGAACACTTCTACCCACTCCATCATCAGCTGGCTGAGAACTCTGCAAATGTTTTGTTTGTTTGTTTTTGTGATAGAGGAGGGTCATGGTTTGCTGTGGCCTGACTGTAATTAATCAAAGCTAGTATGGTGGAAATATGTCACTGAGACACCTTTTACTTTTTCCTTTAATAATCAAAACTCTATTGTAAAGAACTAGCACATAAAAGCATTGTACATGGAGATTAGCCAGATCCATATAGCATTTTAAAGATTCTCTTTAAAAGTAAAGAATATTTAAAAATGAAAATGTGTTGTGAATATAATGATACTGATGGACTGATTGTTAACCATTTCTAGCTCACTCTGAAAATGTAAACCTGGAAGCGTGAAACCATCCCAAGTAGAATTTAGTTCCTTAAACTGATGTGACTTCCCATAGGACATCTTTGTAAGGTCCTTAAAAATGATGTATAAATGGATTTTGAAATCAGCATGAAACTTTTCTAAAAAATGAATTGACTATGACTTGGAGTTCATGAGATATTGAACACAAGCTAGTTATGATTATGTTGGAGCAGCTTATAACTTCAGTGGAATGTCTATTTTAGCTCAGCTGCTTATATTAAAAATATGTCTATCAATATGTAAGACATTGGTTTATAAGAATTCTGTACAAGCTCAGTTACCAAGTGTTTACATACATATGTGAGTATGAGCACACAGACAGACAGACACACACACAATATATATATATATATATATATATATATATATATTATATTTCCTGTCCGTGTGTCCTTATGCAAGAGAAGACAGCTACATAGATTCTCATGTTACTAATGAGGTCCATGTGTGTTCTCTGCCTTCTCAGTGTGTTTGAGCAGGTTACCAGTTCCACCTAGGAAGACATGAGAACAAAGAGAGATATTGATGCTCTTCATTCTGGGAAGAGTTTAGCTCTGGCTTGAAGATGCAGCAGAGGAAATAGGACATCCCCAGGGTCTCCTCCTGACTTCATTTCTAGCTAACTTTCTTTGCACGTGTTTTGGGCATTCTGAGTTACTCTGTCCCTACCTTACCTGGGCTTCATAAAGCCTGGGGTTGGGGAGGGGAGTGGGAAAGTAGGGGGATAAGAATGGGCACAATGACATTTGTGTAAAATGCTGCAGTGACACCCCCCCCACCTCCCCACCTCCCCCACCTCCCCCTACCCCTCCTCCCCCCTGCAGATGCTGCCTTTAAATATCACAGTGTGTCTTTTTAAAACAAGTGACTTGGCAAAGCTGCTCAATGTGCCTACGGTGATGCCTATGTTAGCCGCCACCGTGGAGAGTGGGTGAGGGAATTGGTATGCCAGGCTCATTAATTGTTGGTTGACATTGACTGTCATAACCCTTTGTCCTCAGGAGATTCTGACCACAACTGGAAAATTGCCCATGTGACACTCACAGAAGAGAAGAAATTTCGCTATTTTTTCCAGGGCACCAAAGGTGACCCTGATAACTCAGGTGGTGGCATTTCTCTGGATGACATCACTCTGACAGAGACCCCCTGCCCCAAAGGGGTTTGGACCATAAGGAATATCTCCCAGGTTTTTGCGAACACGGTGAAAGGGGATACGCTTCTGAGCCCTAGGTTCTACAGTTCTGAAGGCTACGGCTTGGGGTTGACGTTGTACCCCAATGGTAGAATCGACAGTGACCCTGGGTATCTGGGACTCGCTTTCCACTTGTACAGTGGGAAGAATGATGGGATTCTGGAGTGGCCAGTAGAAAATAGGCAGGCCATAATGACCATACTTGACCAGGACCCTGATGTCAGGAAAAGGATGTCCTTAAGCATGATGTTCACTACTTCCAAGTACCAAACATCTCCAGGTAGGTAAACTGAGCAAAATAGGAACTGTCCCTTTGTTCCTGGGATGGTGAGCATCTGTGTAAAAAAAAAAAAAAAAGCATTCCTCAGTTTTCCCTTGTGTATAGGAGAAGCATAGTGATATGAGTGTGCACTTATAGGTTGTTTTGCTTGTGTGTTTGTGTGTAACAGGAGAGAGAGGCAGAGAGAGAGAGAGAGAGAGAGAGAGAGAGAGAGAGAGAGAGAGAGAGAGAGTATCCATGTATGTGGGGAGGCCAGAGGACAGTCTTAAGTGTTACTCTTCAGGCACCATTCACCTTTGCCAAAACATTTCTTCTTGTTATTATTATAAAGCCTACGTGTGCAGATGCCTTATAGACATTCAAGCCCAGAGGCCAGCAGGGGCTAGAGGCATCAGATCCCCGCAAAGTAGAGTTACAAAAGGTTGTGAACTGCCTGGTGAATTTATACTGGGAACTGAAGGTAGTCTTCTGCAAGAGCAGTTCACACTCCCAACTGCTGAGCATCTCTCCAGCCCTCCAGTCCTCCATCCACATTCCTTTGACAAAGGGTGTAGTAGTCTGGAACTAGTCGAGTACACTCGAGTGGCTAGGCAGAGGCCTCAGGGATGTGCCTTCCACCATTGTCCCAGCACTGGGATTGCAAGAATATGCCATTATGCTTGGGGGTTTTGTTGTCACTGTTGTTTTAATGTGACTTCTGGGGGGGGGGTCAGACGGAGCTTTTCCATCGGATGGCAGACTGAGTCACCTCTGCAGTCCTGTTAAGGTTTTTCATGCCAGTGTCCCTTGTCTGTCCTAAGTTTTCTCTCAGTCATCTGTGCAAAGCTTGTTTTGTGACCCAGCACTGGAGACTGAGTCCCAGGAACTCAAATGGCCCCCACCCACCCGAGCTCAGTCTAACTGAGAAGGCAGATGCAGACGTCTTTGTAAAGCTTCCTATAGTATTGATGTGTTAAGTCTGAGACTGTCAACAGTATGTCTGTGAGATAAACTTAGATCAACAAAAAAATGGGCTGTTTTTTTTTTCCCCCAAATGAGACATAAGCCTCAATGTCTCCCTGTGTCCCTGATGAGGAAGTCACTTGGTAGAATGCAAACAAGTAGGGCTGTTGTTCTCTGTCCCTCTCACCTCTCAGTTCCAAATTATAACCATAGGGTCAATATGAAACAAAACCCTTGCCTGTGTGTGTGGAATGTGTGCATCTGTGTTTTAGCAAAGCCTGTCGTGTTCGTTAAAGACAAATTAGAGGGGAGGCTAACGAGACTGTCCCTCACCACTCTGCAGCTATAAATGACTCTGTCATCTGGGACAGGCCATCCCAGGTAGGGGTCTACGACAAGGACTGTGACTGTTATAGAAGCATTGACTGGGGTTGGGACCAGGCCATCACCCACCAGATGCTGAAGAGAAGACATTTCCTCAAGGACGACACCCTCATCATCTTTGTAGACTTTGAAGGTACTTTGTTAGACTTGCTTGGTCAATAATTCTCAGCTCTTCATGGCCTATTGCTTTACCTGGATTTTAAACCAAGTCAGGGAGGTAAGAATTTTTTTTGTAGGGGTAAGTTATTTTGTCTTTGTTTTTTAAAGAAAAAGGCTGTGTTATAATAGCCACATTTTACTCGTTTGGTCAAGGATTTGAATTTTTGTATGATGCTTTGAATATGTCATTTGATTGACACATGAAAATTATCCGTAGTCATGTAGAATATACCTTGTGATATAGTGACACATGTATCTATCATATGACAAGCAACCCAGGGCAAGTGTAGCTAGCTTTTCAAACAACCTTAATTTCTTTGTACTAGAAACTATAATCTTTAACTGTCTCTGGGAGAAACCAAAATTTCATCCTTTTGAAGTGCTGTCTTTGTGATAGTTTATCAGCTATGACAGTGTGTTGACTTCAAGTCAGCCTCAGTCTATGTACCCTCGGTTTGATTATGCAAACTCAAACAATGTGTAACAGAATCATTTTACAAAGCCACTTTTCTACGTAATATATGGTATTTGTGATGTAGGGTATTTGTGATGTAATATATGATATTTGTGGAAGATAGATGAGGCTCAGGGAGCTTCTAGAAGTGGGTGGCCATCACAGTCAGTTATTAATCTTGGATCCTCTCACTTCCACGGCCCGTTTCCTGAAGATCTCACCCACCTGAATCAGACTGAAGTTCCAGTTCCTGCCCAAAGTGTGACCTCCCAAGGTCTCCTTCTCCAAGCCCAGGAGCCTCCTGTCTTGGGAGAAAGCTCCAGAAGAGCCATGTGGGAGGAAGCCCTGCCGAGCAGCCTAGACCAGGGACAACCCAGCCGACAGAGGCGGTCAGTGAAGAATACTGGCCCCTTGGAGGACCACAACTGGCCACAGTACTTCAGAGACCCCTGTGACCCAAACCCTTGCCAGAATGACGGCATCTGTGTGAACGTGAAGGGCATGGCCAGCTGCAGGTAGGCTCCAAGGCCAAGGGTGGAGAGCAGTGGATGAGGTAACATATCTGAGTCAGATTTGCTGCTCAAAACTCACAGTGATGGGGTTGAGGAGGTGTTGGTAAGTGCTTACTTCACAACCTGAGGACTCAAGTTTGGGTCCCTCATATCCCCCCTCAAAACAGTGCATAATGACACACTTTTGTTAACCCCAGTGCTGGGAAGGTGGGAACAGGAGTGTCTGTGGAGCTCATTGGCCTGACAACCTAGCTAAATCAGCCAGCTTCCGGTTCGGTGAGAGACCCTGTCTCAAAAAGGAAGGTGAAGAATGACCAAAGAAGATGACCAGTGTCTATCTCTGGCAACATGCACATGAATGCAACACACACACACACACACACACACACACACACACACCATAAAAGAACATGACAGTGACTACATAATACAATGTATACTGTTTGCCTCGAGGACTCTTTATCACACTAGGGCTAACAAATGACCTACAGGTTCTAGCCTAAAGAGTGAAGATCTAACTTAAATCTTCATGGACAGCAGATGTCTTATTTGCTATTTGTTAGTAGTAGCAGTAATAGTTTTGGAATTCATCAGTTCTATTCTATTACTATATTTCCAATAACCGTAATGGGAACATGTGATTGTCATCATATTTCTGCCTGCTGGAAATCATATGTCCTTCTCAGCCTTATACGGCATGATCTGAATTCTCTTTTCTGCCCTTGAGACAGGGAGATGAATGCACCAAGGGTAATTTGTCCCAAATTATCCAGATAATCAGTGCTAGAGCTGGGACCTGCATATACAAATGCCTGGCTGTAGTTTGTTGTGTAAGATAGTCATGTTTCTAATGCTTGCATGAAAACGTAAAGAATATGTCATTAGCAAATGTGTACAGGGAGAGAAACATCCCCTGCAGTTGGCAGGATGCAAACAGATAGATGCAGGAGCCACGCTTTCATGCTAGCCCCAACGGGCATGTTTCTGCTGTTTCTTTTCTTTTGACTTGGAAATAATTTCAGGTTTGTAGATACACTGCATAAAACACTCCAGATTTCCCTGTGCCCTTAAATTGTTTTCCTGTCATGTTAACATCTCACAAGATCATATTTCAACTAGCAAAGGCAAGACAAGGGCATCAGTAGAACTCTATAGAGCAGACTCAATGCCCCCTTTCTATTTCAGGACCCCACAATGCATTGAGTTCCATGTCTCCTTGGTCTCCTTCAACTTGGAGCAATCCTTGCCTTTCATCCCTTAGACATCTTTGAAGAGTGACTCTATTACTCTTTAACATTGTCCTTAATCGTATTGATTCTAGATTTTTTTTTCACAATTAGACTGAGCTTATGCTTTAGATACCAGGGGCTCTTGTTATGTCCAGTGCTCCTGGAGACACATCAGGACATGTTGACTCGCTCACAGCAGATCAAAGACTTAGGCCTGCACCTCTGCCTGAGGCCCTCAGATGCCTCCTACTAGTCTTGTTTGTCCCAGGAGTTGCCACACAGGCACCGAAGTACTCCTTTCCACAGCCCTGAAGCTGGGGCTTTGCGGGGGGGGGGGGGGGGAGGGGAGCTTGCTAAAGGTAACTCAAGCTGGTGGCACTGGGTCAGAAGAAAGATGTCTGATGGCTATTATTAATTTTTAAAAAGCAGATTCTCAAGCTAGAGATGAACCCCTCTCCCCAAAAAATAAACCCACCAGGTGTTGTGGCTTACTTTTGTAATCCTGGTGCTTGAGAAGGTGGCGAAGGAGGGTCATGGGTTTGAAACCAGCAGGAGCTACCCAGTGAATTCCAGGCTGATCTGAGGTTATCTCAACACTCACCCATGGACTAAGAAAGTGAAAGAACTCCAGGGATAAGTAAAGAACACCCCAGCCTGTCCCACTGACTTCTCTACAGCTTAGAGTCTTGGGACAACGGTGGGGTTTGCCACTGTGGAAGCTATGGAGCCCGTCCCCTAATAACTGGGACGCTAAATGACATTTCAAAAAGAAAACAGCCTCCAAGTCTAGCTACTGTGCCCCTACTTTGGGTTAAGAACCTGAACTGGCACAGGACCTGTTTTTCAGCTTCAGGTGGGAAACACCAACCACGTAGAGTCATTTCTCCTTCCTCATCTTAAATAATGGCAAGGAGAATGGCTGGATTATACCTCTATTGAAAGCTACCGTGTGGTTAAATGAATTGTTATGTATGGAACCTGTGGATGGGCTGGCGGTGGTCTGTGATTATTTGCTACTGTTATTTTGCTGTTATTGGTGGATCCTGTGGCTAGAGAGCACTTGAGGTCATAGACTCCACCCTCTGTGTCCTGTTCCACAGGTGTGTCTCTGGGCATGCCTTTTTCTACACGGGAGAGCGCTGTCAGGCCATGCAAGTACATGGCAGTGTCTTGGGCCTGATCATTGGCGGCATCACTGGCTTGATCTTCTTGACCTTTGTCACATTTACCAACACTTACCAGAAGCTGATGAAGTGAGCAGATCCCTGCTGATGTCCACCAGACTGCAGAAGGGCCTCCTCCACCCAGACTTCCTTCCTGTACTCAGCGTACTTTGGGATCATGTTTATCAATCGTGTTTGAAAGGGCTTCCAAAACCAAAGCTGCTAGCCTCGTGTGTGGCTCTTAACACTTTTGTCCCCGCATAGCTCTGTTAGCCTTCTATGAATTCCTGGTGAATCCTTATGTCCATCCATCACATTTAATTATATACCTTTTCTTATTTGACCCTTCCCCCTTAGATAACACTGAACCCTCTCCCCTTGGATCACACTTGGCCCTCTTCCCTTGGATCACACTTGGCCCTCTTCCCTTGGATCACACTTGACCCTCTTCCTTTGAATTACACTTGGCCCTCTTCCCTTGGATCACACTTGGCCCTCTTCCCTTGGATCACACTTGGCCCTCTTCCCTTGGATCACAAGCTCTAGTCAGGTAGAGATCCGTTATCATCAGCCACCATGTTGGCCCCTGAGACGATGGGAGATGTCATTCTGTAAATATGTTTCTTGTATTGGTTAATGAATAAAGCACTGTTGGCCAATAGGAAATCAAGATAGGCAGGACTAGGAGACTAGGAGAGAGAGGAAGTAGGAGGGAAGGGTTCCAAGATGGAAGACAGGGAGATCACAATGCCAGCCTCTCTCTCCAGTAAGATAAGACCACGTGGAAACACTTAGATGACTAGAAATAGGTTAATAATTAAGACAGCGCTAGCCGATAAAAAACTAGTACCTGGCCAACAGCATTATATCTAATACAGAGTCTCTGTGTGTTATTTGGGGCTGGCGTGGTGGTGAGACCAGGCTGGCAGAAAACCTACTCGTAACACATGGCGCTCCACATTGCACGCTAGGCCCCAGTGCTAGAAACACACTTGGCAGGAGTGTTGTTGGTGCTCAGTAAAAGTATTAAATGAATGAGTGAATAGCTGTGGTATTTTGTTTCCATTTTAGATTTTTAAACACATGGTTAAATCTATGTGCAGCTATGTTAGAAGCAAATGATTTTACCAGACAGTGATTTTATTGCTCATTTAGTATTCTATGAAATGATTTCAAAGATCCCACTGGTAGGCTGGGTTTCCAAGGCGTGTGCTTTCCTTTTGCTCTGGTTTTAAGGGAAAGGCTTAATAAATCCAATACAGATAGAGTGTGTGTACTCTATGTCTCCAGTGTGTGTGTGTGTGTGTGTGTGTGTGTGTGTGTGTGTGTGTGTGTGCCCAAAATTCAGAGTCTAAAATTGTAAAGTGCATTTTTTTTGGCTAGATTTGTATCTGAGATTGTAGAAGTTTTGTCTAGTAAGCAGGAAGCCCAGGGTTGCTCCCTAGCACTGTACAGCTTTGAGCCACCATTCAAGAGGTGGAGGCAGGAGGATCAGGAGTTCAAGGTCATCCTCAGATACAAGTTCTAAGCAGGGTTACACGAGACTCTACCTAATGGTAATGATGGATGGTACATTTTCTATGGTATCCATGCATGACTGTGTTACATTATTGTATTGTGTTAACAGACCAAAGGCATCAGGTAGAACTTTAAAGACCGTTTGTCTAACTGTATTTTCAAGCTTGTGAGATGAGGCTGGCACAGGGAAGTTCCAAGATGGGACCTAGTGAAAAGTGTTGATTTCCCTCCCCAGCCAGCAAAGTGTTGGCTCTTGATGTTTAACGATAGAAGGGCCCCGGCTACCCTAGTGACCCAGGATTTAGGTGACCAGACTCAGGTTTCATCGCCTCTCCATGGAGTTAGCATGCACTGGAAACACATGTGAGGGTGAAGAAGAGTCCCTGGCAGAGACGGGAGACTAGCTTACATCATGTCACAAAAGGACTTGTGATAGGCACTCCCTGACTGACTGGAGGTAGAGAAGCATGCCTGGGAACATGCACAGCAGGAGCAGCTGACACCTCGGCAAGCCCCTCCCCAGAGTTTCTAGGTTGGTAGGTCTCCAGTGGCCTGGTGATTTGTATTTCTAACAGACTGCCAGGTGATGCTGATGCTGCTGGCCTCCTCCACACACCTTTATATATACGTTCGGGCAGTGGTGACACGTGCCTTTAATCCCAGCAGCAGAGGCAAGTGGATCTCCAAGTTTTCGAAGCCAGCATGATTTCCAGAGTGAGTTTGAGGACAGCTAGGAATACACAGAGAAACTTTGTCTCAAAAATAAATAGATAAACAAACAAACAAGCAAAAAGAAATATTGTCGTTCTAGTGAATAGAAGGCAGTCAGCAAGTCAGGCATCCTGGATGTAGGCTTGGACCAACCAGCCAGCTAGCTGTATATTTTTGGTAAGAAATCACTCGAGCTGTTCTTGGGTTTAATTAGTCAGTGATTCCATCCTGCTTCTCAACCTCAGCATCTCAAGGATTGTGCAGTAATCAGAAAAAATCCATCACACCTGTAATACCCCACCCTTGAACTCATGGTGCCCTGTAGTCCCTATTTCTTACAGTGACCCTCCTACCTCAGCTTCTCAAGTGCTTGGACCACAGGCGTGTACCACCATGCTTGCCATCTTATTTCTTAGACTGTTGCTATTGTTTTTGAGGTTTAAATACATTTCACCTGCTCTAGCCTATTGTGATTACGTTTTGAAATTGATTGAGAATGGCATACATGCATATAGTATGTTTCCATCAAACCCACCCCTCAACTTGCCACCCTCCACAGATTCCACTTAATGCTGTCAGTATGTGCATGGGTGTGGAACTGTCCACGGAAGGGTGGACAGGCCTATCAGAGGCACAGCTCTGAAGAAAACTGACCCCCACCCTCCCACAGCAGCCATCAATTTCCCAATAGCTCCTCAGTTAGGTGTGGGACTTTATGACCCCCTCCCATCCATACTGGAATTCACCTGGCTCTTTATAGACTATTGATAAAGATCTGCTGCCAATAACTAACAAGAATCAAGTGACTGTCTCCTCTAGGAGCACCCTGGGTACCCTCAGCCTCCTCTAGGGCATGAACCCGAGTCATGGTGCATCCTGGCAGAACACTGCCTTTGGCCCATTGATAAGCAAACTGTAGCCTAACCCCTTTGTGTATGAGCCCCGCCTTTCTGTCGGATTACACTGTCTTCCCTATGACTTGATAGAGTCCCAGAGACACTAAGTCCAGTGCCTGCACTGGAGTAAACTGGGGGCAGACTACAGAGAATAGGTGTAGCAGAGACACCACAGGACACTGAAGGACAGGCTGCCACTCTCTATGTGTTTCAGAAAAGTTTAAGAAGACAGGCATTTGCGAAGATGCTGTAAAACCAAGCTAATCTGTGTCTCTGTATCTGGAGGTTTTTTTTTTTTTTTTTTGCTTGTTTCTCTGCATTCTGGGCATTGTTTTATTTGTGTGTGTGGGTGTGATTAGTCACCTATATTTCAGAAAACACACAAATATACCTAAACCAGCTGTTGTCATCTTCAGTGCTCTCCGAGTGTTCTTCCAAAATCTCTAGGCAAAATGAATTTTTAAAAACTAATACATCATGGGGCTGGAGAGATGGATCAGGGGTTAAGAGCGATTGTTGTGACTGCAGAAAATTGGAGTTAGCTTTATAGCAGCTGAGATGCTCACACTGTCTGGAACTCCAGCTCCAGGGGACCCAACAGTAGCTGCCTTCCAGCCTCAGAGGGCAGCTGTATGCACTTGCACATACACACAGACACAAATAATAATTTTTTTAAAAGATGTATCATGTTTATCCCATGGTGAGTACTATTTGCCCAACTGTGGAAAACACTGATGAGATTGGATGAAATATGTGTTTTTGTTTTCTAAATCTGAAAACTAAAGAAAATAAGAATACTCACTTACGTTCTGGTTCTATTTCTATTGCTGTGATAAAGACCAGACCAAAGCAGGTTGTGGAATAAGGGTCCATTTGGCTTATGTGTCCTCATCACAGCCCATCACTCTGGGAAGTCAAGGCATGCACTTGGAGGCAGGAAGTGAAGCAGAGACCTTACAGGGATGCTGCATACAGGATCCCACACCAGGATCATGAACAACTACCTTTCTTATACATCCTAGGACCACGGGCGTGACACTGCCCACAGTAGACAGAAAATGCCCCATACACTTGCCAACAGGCAAATCCAGTGGAAGGGTTTTCTTAATCGGGGTTCCCCTTTCCCAGATGACCCCAGCTTGTAGCAAGATGACAAAAACTAAGCAGCACAATAGAGCCCTTGTAGAACTGACACACAGGCATAGCATAATCAAACTGTTTGCTTTGTTGTTTATCCACAGGAACTCATATTAACTCTACGGTGTCATTTTCTAAAGTCCCCAGTCTTGAAAGATTTCAACACTTTAAAGGAGTCTAAGTTCTGTTTAAAAAAAAAAATCAATCTAATGTCTCAGCCAGGAGGGGTGGGGCACACCTTTAATTTCATGGGAGACTGAGACAGATCCTAGGGTTTGAGGCTAGCCTGGTTTACAGAGCCAGTTCTAGTACAGCTAGAGCTACACAGACAGACTCTGTCTTGAAAACCACCCCTTCCAACAAAGAAAAAAGAAAACCGCCAAAAATAAATAAAATCTAACGTCTCTTTGAAAAGCTGAAGTCTCTCAACTATGGGCTCCTGTAAAACCAGAAACTAGTTAAATATGTTTATTCCAAGAAGGAAGAAACAGGGCACAATTACAATAAAAATCAATCAGTGTAAGTCAAACCCTGTAGTTCAATACACAACATCTGGGACTCATGATCTTCTGGGTTCCAGTGGACTCAGGCAGCTCCGTCTCTCCATCTCTGCCGTCTGAAACACACAGTTTGTCTCGAGGACTCGGGTCGGCTCCACTCATCAGCTGGCGCTGTCCTTGGTGGTCCTCCCAGGCTTGGTATCTTCAATATGCTGGGATCTGCCCTGAAGCTGAGGCTGCACCTTTATCTAAGGCCCCTTTCCCTCTTTTCAGGTACACCAACCCTGATGCATGGTGCCATCAGCCTCACACTGATCTCCTCCAGTCTTGGGGTTTCCACCGCAAATAAAGCTGCACTTTTACTGGTGGTTAAAAAAATAACCCTGTCCCAGCTGCTCTCTCTGACATCTTTAATCTTGCAGTCTTCATTCTACCCAAATCAGCGCAACCTGGGAAGCTCTTGCCTATTAACAAGTTTATTGACAGCATGAGATAACACGTCCTGGACTCCTCTGGACTACAGCGCTGTGTTGACCCCAAGGAAATACTCTGAGAAGGTTTTGCCACAAATGGTGTCATTCTCAACAGCCCCTGGTCTCTTGGACCCAGCTGAGCAGTGTCAATTGTCTCAGTAAAGCAACGGTTCCCTTCAGTGGCCCCGGACTCTTGTTAGTCATAGCTCACTATTCAGCCACAGCACTGGAAACCTCAGTGTTTGTTTGTTTGTTTTGTTTTAATTCAAATATGCCTTACAAATGGCCCCATCTTAGGGTTTCTATTGCTGTGATAAAACACCATTAACCATAAATGACCTGGAGAGGAGAAGAATAAATTGATTTCATTTAGAACTCTCAGGTCACACTCCCTTGCTGAGCTAAGTTGGGGCAGAAATCTGGAGGCAGGAACTGATGCAGAGTACATGGAGGGATGATGCTTGCTGGCTTGCTCTCTGCCTCCTTTGTTCAGCCTGCTTTCTTATTGTACCCAGGCACCACTCTCAATGGACTGGGCCCTCCCACTAATTAAGAAAATGCCCTTCATGCTTGTCCTCCACCAGATCTTTTGGAAGATTTTCTCAACTCAAGAATTCATCTTCCAAGACGACTACTGTTTGCTTCAGGTTGACATAAGACCGGCCTAGGTAGGCCCTGAAGTGAAGTTGTTCCCAAACCAGGCCTCCGACATCTGCATTTCTGTCAGCACTGTTTCCCACATTCCCACAGAACAACCACGAAGCTTCGAGTACTTGATGCCACTTCACCGTAAAAACCCAAACATGCCCACAATCCTAAGGACACTCTTCCACAATCCTTTGAACAACATAGTCAGGTTGCTTGCAACAATAACTCAGTTTTGGATTGCTAGAGGATTTAAACAAGGCTGCAAACATAAAAGATACATAGTACAGGATCAATAAATGTCATTTAATACAGCAGTAGACCTAGCAACCACTTCCATGTAGGGTTCCCTGTGCCTCTCCTAGAGGGACTTGTACATTACACTTTGCCTCTCACTGAGATTTTGCTATCTGGTGAAGAATTGCCCAACAAACAGGAAATGTATGAGAGATCTGTGGGGGGGGGCAACATCTCAAGACATATGGTAAACCCCACCCCAGACACAGCGTAGCTATCTCTCTCATTATATAAAGCCAGTTCAGTTTGTCCCTCTGCTCCGAGTGCCAACCTTCTCAACAGCTGGCCCTGTTTGCTTCTTTTTTTCTTGGCTCATGCTTTGGCAATGTGTGCCCAGAGGCCAGATGTGGCTCCAGCTCCTGGCTGGGCTAAAGACAGCTGAAGAGTCAGTGTGGACTGGAAATTGGAACTCTGTCCAAGCTAAGAAAATTCAACTGGATAATTTAAAAATAATTATTCATTGTACAAGGTGGTAAGTTTCATAGTGACATTTTAAGGTATTTTTAAAAGTACACATATATGTGTATGTGCATATGGGCGCAGGTACCCACAGAGGCCAGAAGAGGGCATTGTGTCCCTTGGAGCTGCTGTTACAGGTGGTTGTGAGCCAGCTGCTTGAAAATGATACTGTGAACTGAACCCAAGTCCTCTGGAAGAGCAGTATGTACTTGTAGACAGAAGTTCCTGTCCTGCCTGGTCCTACAGCCATTCAGTCGCAAATAAACACACAGAGGCTTGTATTGATTATAAACTGGCTGATGGCTCAGGCTTATCACTAGCAAGCTCTTACAACTTGAATTAACCCATGCTTCTTATCTGTGCTTAGCCACATGGCTTGGTACCTTTTCTCAGTGAGGCATTCTCATGTTGCTTCTTCTACATCTTGTTGGTGACTCACTGTCTGCCTTTCTTCTTCCCAGAATTCTCCTAGTCTGGTAGCCCCACCTAAACTTCCTGCCTGGCTACTGCCAATCAGCATTTTATTAAACCCATACCAGTGACAAGAACATTATCCCACAACCCACAACTTTAACTGCTGAGCCATCGTCCAGTCCCAATAATGACATTTAGTCCGGCTAACCATTCACTTTGACCATATTCACCCCATAATCCTCTTCTTCCTTCTACCCACTTCTGCTCCATGCTTCTCTTTTCCTCTCCCCAAACAGTCTCCATTCTGTGCGCGCGCGCGCGTGTGTGTGTGTGTGTGTGTGTGTGTGTGTGTGTTGCTGTTAAATCTAGATGTTTGTCTTGTCCTGGGTCAAGCTTACCTTTCATAACACAACCATCTCTACTTCCACCTGTTTCTCCCTAAATGACATAAATTATTCTTCCTGGTGGCTGAATACAACTTCAATAGAAGGTTCGAAAAAGGGAAAGGAGAATTCAAATCAATTGTGCAGCCTCACTCATGGAGAAAGTTTGTTGGGAGGCTTCCATTCTGCCTCCTTAAATACCTTCCAGAACCCTGTTTGGAAAGGCAGGGGAGTGGCAGCGTGGGTAGGGCAGGGTGGGTCATCACTTCCGGGGCAATTACATAAATTAGCTTTCGTTAATGAAGGAGGAAGTAAGAGTCACCTGCAAATTCCCTATGTACAGTTGAACTGTGTGTGTCCACACTTCTGTGTGTTTCCTGACTCATCCCTGACAACTTCATAATGTCACGGTGGAAGGAAGTGGGAATGATTCCTTCATTCCGCATGTCTGCAGCCTCAGCCTTCCGTCCTGTGGGCTGTCCTTCTGGGACTGACCTGAGCCTCCACCCTGCTGCTCTGAGAGCCACAAAGGAGGAACTTCCTCTATTGTCCACCAGGTGGCAATCAAGCTGCAGGAGACGCAAACTGAATGAGCTGGAGACCAGGCAATTGATGCCAGCTGTCACTCATTAGCCCAGCTGGAGATGCCCGAGAGGACACTGATTCAGACAGCTGTGAAACAGCTCCCGGGGCATGGGAAAACACTCACGGTTCCAGAAAAAACAGGAGAAGGATGTAACCATTTTCTTCAGTTAATCAAAATCAAACACTTCTTTCCACAAGGGGGGGGGGGGAGAGCAGGATGCGGGTGCTGATTGGCAGGGTGGGAACAGAAAACCGCACTCATCAAAACCGCTCCCAAATGGCCAAGCATGAAGACATTCTTGGACTCTGTTGTCCGATGCTGTCGGAAGTGGGGGTCACAGCAATCTCTACAGGCCTTGTCCAACCGGTTCCTGTTGCCTTACCTGCTGAGAATAAGCGCCCCCCGCCTCACCCCACTAGATTCCTGGGGTGTTTATGTTTATTCTGTACTGGTTGCTAGTGTACTTCACTTGGCTCTGGGATGAGAACAGGTTCCTGTAGCTACTGCCTGGCTCCATCTGTGAAGGCGGACCTGTCTTGGACACTCTTCCTTCTCAGTTTATCAGGGATGACAATGGGAGTCAATGAAATTTTGGCTTCCTCAAACCCCTTCCAGCAGTCTGTCTGGAAGGGGTGGACTGTTGCTTGTGTTTTTAGCTTGCCATTGGTTCTGTAAACAGGATTTTGGCTATGAGGAAAGAACCTTACAACTGCGCCCCTTTGTGGCCACTGCAATACCTGCAATGGTCTTTGGAAATAAATAGGTGTTTGCTAGGAGTGGACTTCAGACTTTGGGCTCATTTGCCCTTTTCTTGTGGCCTTTGCCCACTCCAGAGGCACAGGGAGTGGGAGCCTTGCTGCTCTAGAGCTTCTAGAATGTGCTATAGGGTATTTATAAGGCATGAAGGATCTAACTTCAGCCAACTGAATTACATCTGTTGGAACAGGCATGAGTTGATTTGTTTCCTGGATATTGAGGTTCTGATGGCTTTGCTTCAAGAACCCTGTGTTTGTTTGTTTGTTTGTTTGTTTGTTTATTGCTCAAGGACCCTGTTTAAAGTCCCAAAACAGCACTGGCCATCACAACGCTCCTGGGAGTATGGAAAATGTGACAAAACTTCCTGCCCCGCCTGAGATCTGCTGTGAGTCTCTGGCATCCCTCACATCTGGAGAATGGAAGGCCTCACTGGGTGTTTGGGGAGTGGAATTGGGTTCTGCCTGATATGAGGAAACCTGAAACAGCAGCAGCAGCATATGACGGACAAATGGACAATGTATACAAGGAGAGTTCGGGAAATCATTAGCTATTTTATTTTCAGGAAGGAAAGCATCACTATACACTGACTTATTAATAGGGTGTGATTTAAACTCAGAGTTAAACTTCAAGACATCCACCGCAGCTGATTGCAATAGAAATGCTGTTTCTGTTGTCTTTAAAAATAAGCAAGAAATAGATGTCTGCTCCAAGCTTCCCCCCTTGTGGACGCTCAAGGAACAAGGCTTCTATTGGGCTGGGTCACTGGCTTTCTCTTTGGGGTGCAAGTGCCCCATGTCACGACACCTCTACATCCACAGATAAAACACTTAATCCCTCCATAAATAGCTCAGGTAATTTTCTTCTGTCTTCCTAACTGGCTGAGACTTGCTGTTCCACTCACCTGGATTAACTCTCCTATGTCTTCCTCCACACTGACTGGCTGCTGTATTCTTTCTTATCTCCATGTACATTTTCTTCTGACAAAGACCTTTCTGGAGGACTCTGCACAAATCATGAAAGCCTCTGGCTTCCCATTGCATTTCTTCATTTCTTCCCTTAGTGACCTACACTCTGGGAGATGATGTGTGATGCTTAGAGTAGTCCCTGAGAGTATTGTTGTGTATTGATTGTGCGGTTCTGAGTCCTCCAACTTCACAACCTCCAAAACATTAGCATAGATCTTCTTGCAAGAAAGAGCCTTGATGGAAAGTCCATTAAGGAAAGAAAGTTGGAGCCCGTGGAATTTACTTTACACAATAAAAGATGTGGAGAATGCGGGCAGCAGGAAGCACTCTCTTAGCAAAGTGAACGGGGTTCACTTGACACCTTAGTAACTGAACACTCCTCTGGCACAGTGAATGCCTTGCTGCTGCTGAACTGGGTGCAGGCTCTGGCTTTCACGCAATGCACAGACCTGTGTGCTTGCATCTTTTACAATTTTGGATTCAATGTTTACTTTTAGTAAAGGTCAGTGTGGAATTGTGAGCAGAAAACCACTAAGTACTCCTTCCCATGCTTTGTCACATAGATTTTTCTGGAATTTATTTTTAAAACTTTAATTATGTGTAAATGGGTGTGCCAGGGAGGGGGATATGTGTGTGTGAGTACCCTCAAAGTCAAGAGGAGGGTAACAGATGGCCCTCAGCTGGAGTAACAGGTGGTGATGAGCTGCCCAACATGGGTGCTTGGAACCGAACCTTGGGATTCCTCTGTAAGATCAATACACGTTCTTAACCACTGAGCCATATCTCCAGCTGCCTTTTCTGGAATCCAAAGCTGTGCCTTAAAAGGCCCAGGGTCTCTATGTGTGTTAATGTTGGCATGAATATGTACATGTCTGTCCCAAGAAGAATGGCCCCCTGCTGAATCTTGCATTTACAAACTAACAAACTTCCTTTAGGAATTTTAAATAATGAGCCATTCAGTTGGGACAGAGATGTGGCAGTTCACACGAAAACATCTGTACATGTATGCCTGTGAATTTTGGGTGTCCACGTGTGTTCATAGGAGCCTGGGTATGTATATGTGTGTGTTCAGTATGCCTCTGTCAGTTTGTGGGGTCTGTGTATGAATTTGTGTGTGCATTAGAGTTTGTGGGCATGCGTGCTGGGGATGGGGGAACGTGTCCCTGTGAATGAAAGCAGGCAGAGGGCCAGATCCACATCCTATGGAATTCAGCTGCAAGTTCCTGCTATTATGCCCTGATGGAGATTCTCTTCACAGGGTCAAGCCCAATGGCTCCCAAGGGGCAAAAGTGAAGTGAACCAAAGTTCAGTGCTCCTTGGGCCTTGGCATTCTTGAGTAACACATCCCCAGCTTCCCCGATGTCCAGGCTGTCCTGCCATGCTGTGCAACAGTCCTGGCTCAGTGCTCCTTAACATAAGTCAGGGAGCTGAACCAGTCTCCATCACTCCTTCTCTGGTCCAAGGGATGCCTCATCTTAGACTCTGCTGTTCTCTCTCTACTGAACTCTTGTCCTATGTTGGAGACTCCCTAGAGAACTCATCCACATTTGCGTGCCAATGTTGGTTCCCTGTAAGGACTTTAAATAACAGCACTAAGTTGGGACTTATGTGGGAATGAAAAGCCGTGGAAGGGACCTTGTCTTCCCACCTGCCTCTTCCTCTATGAAGAACAGCAATGCTTAGAGCTAAAAGGAAGAGATTATAAAGTGCTAAAAAATATTAAAGACAAACTTTCAGACTCTAGGTCAGTGAGTGATGGCTAGAGTTCAGACTCCTCTCTCCTGTCTTCCCAATGAAGGGCACTCAGTGGTTTTGATTCCTCAAAACCCAACACTGCCCATCCACCCTGATCCACCCTGGAGAGCCTGCTGTTTGTTGTTGAATGAGAAATGTGCCCTGTAGGCTCCTGTATTTGAATCCCTGCCCTGTCCCTGACCAGGTTGTGGGTGCTGTTTGGGAAGATGATGGAACCTTTAGGAGGTGGAGCCTGGCTACAGGGAGGGGGCGGGCTGTGAGTGTTCATAGCCCTTCCCACTTCCTGTTACTTACTTCCAGACTGCTGAGCTGACACTGGGCTGACACATGCTCCTCGGCCATGCTTTCCCCACGGCAGTGGACTGCATTTTGAAGTATGAGCCCAAACAAACCTTATCTCCCTTAAGTTGCTTTCGACACTGTATCTACCTATAGCAATGCGAAATGAATGAAGAAACACCATCTTTAATACCACACTCTTTGATATGAACCGTATGACTGCTCTTGGTTACTGAACGTGGCGAGCTCTCACATGGATGGAGTTTTAGTAAATGTGTGTATTTTTGAGAGACACACATATAAAACCCACGTAGGTATAAATTCAAGAGCAACCTAAGCCTTAGGAGGAACCCTGCCATTTGCTTATCAAAGCAAAGTGTTCCTGGGAGCACAGAAGAGCCTAGTGTGTACTTTTTCTCCAGACGCCTTCCAAGTGGCTGTAATGAACACAGGTCAGACCATAGACACTCTGAATGTATATTGGCCTGGGAAGTTATAAGATCAGGAACAGACAGCACACAGCAAGCTGTACAGCACACCAAGGGCCATCATCTCCACTATCATGGTGATATCACAACAACAATAATAAAACTGTACACGCTATGCAACCATTAGAATCTATTCTATAATGCACAGAAAGTACCTGGTTAAAGCTGTTACATAAAGACAGATGTGGAGTCTGAGTTCAGTGCAATATGTCAATCTTGTCAATAACTGGGTATAATATAGACATATACAAGCGTTGCTTTCAAACTGTCCAACAAACTAACCCAACAAACTAACACACAGTGCTTTTCTGACAGGCCTGAGAGATGAATCCTTACTTGGCTCTGACAGTGTTGCTGGCACATTTCCTCTGCGTGCTCATCCTGCTTTGCCCAGGCCCTGACACGCAGAGGTTCATATGCATGTCCTTGTCACGAGGCTATGTGTCTCCTTGGGTACATTGCTTGCAAATATTATTATCCTGCCAGAAGCATCCCCATGGCCTGATTCCCTTTTTATTTCTCCTCTGTCTTGGAGTCTAAACTTTTACTGGGAAGTATTAGCAATGCTTGTCCCCTGTGACTTTATTCCATTGTCCATTTTTAAGCCATACATTTCCATCCTCAGTGCTGTCTCAGTGATACCTGAGTGATCATATTAGATCTTGATGTGGGAACCTCAAATTTGCTCCCTAATGCTTTCTACCTTATTCTCCCTCCCTTCCTTCCTTCCTTCTTTCCTTCCTTCCTTCCTTCCTCCAACCCTTTCTTTCTTCCTTGAATTCACTGAACTCCTGAGTACTAGCTTCTTACTTAGGGCTTCAGTCAATACTTATTTTTGTAGCCAGTGGTGGGGAGGGGCACTCTGGGGAAGGGAGGAAGAAAAACTCTCTTCAAAATTCTATTTTACAGTACATATAGAAAAGTCGGGCCTTGGGGGATTTCTTTTAAATACTATACATATTTGGCATTACACAAGGGATGGAGGCACAAAATAAACATGGCAATTGCTTTTAGTTTGTCTGTACAGAAGAGAGCATCCTCGTTACCGAGTCACCAAGTCTCTTCAGCATCGGCTTCCAGCAGTCTGCAGAGAGAACACTTAACCCATAGATGGGAATGGGTCCCTTTTTCTCAGCACAAGTCTGCCCTGTTTCTGAGTGGTCCTGCAGATTTGGCTTTGTCTGGTCCTAGTTGAGCAGCGAGTAAGCACTGGAGGAATTTTCCACGGATGAACTGGTTGTTTCTGGGGTGGAAACGTTATATGTGCCTGCAAGAAAAAAAAGCCAAAGCAGCATTTCAGCCTCCAAGACAAGCTTTCATTTCATGCACTTTGGGGTGCAAATCTTGTCTAAGGAACCAACATAAGCTCTGGTCCAGCAGCCATGTCTGGGGACCAACCCAGGCCTGCCCTCCTCCCTAACCCAGCATGCCAGAGAACAAACGACACAAGTACTGTCCTCAAGCATGCATGGCAGCCACCAAGCACTAACTATTCCAGAACACACCAGCAGCCAGATTTCCACACAGGACAGGAAGACATACCATGGGCAGGCAGCCTCTCCCTAAGCGCCCACATGCATCGGGGGAGGGGGGCTTCTGTACGAGGGAGACTTCCTCTTCCCTTGTTTATTTTGACTTGGGAAAGTTTGTAGGAGGAGCTAACCATTGAGCTGAAGGGTCGTAAAAGGAAGGCAAGGACAGAGAAGTTTATTGGGAGAAAGAGGCAGGGTGGGAAGGAGCGACAGATACCAACAGAAGTACCAAGGACCAGCCCAGCGGGCAGGCAGCTGGAGGGACTGCTCAGCTTTATGCGGGCGGACGGCAGGCACTGTGCGCGAGGGAGATACAGAACAAGCACTGGGAGGAGGAAGGGTCGAAGTGACTACCCTACCATCAGGATGATGAACTGCCACTGCTAACAGGGTTTCCATCATTGCTTGGGGGGACCTTTGGGGTTGCTGACAACATAAACCAAAGTTACAGTAATTAGCCCCCCCCTCCACCAATGAAAACTCTTATCCAGAGCAAGGCTGTCCATGCAAGAGTATCCAACCTCAGCGACCAGGAATCTCAGGCCCTGACACACCAGGAACATGGCCCACCTCCCAACTTAGATCTGGAAAGTTCACAAAAAAAAAAAAAAAAAAAAAAAAAAGAGCGTATTCTGTTGGCCTCATATTTTGCAAAGCTCAGATTTAGTGGATTAGTTAACAATTTCTGCTCGCTTCATTGGAAATGCTAAATGCGCATGAAGTCCAGTAGTTCTGGTATTCCAGCGACTCATTTCATGTGAGGTCAAGTTAGTGACATCCAAAGTAAAACATGACAAGTAGGTAGTCTCTGGAGTCATCCCACCCCCCACCCCCATTTGCGACTCTATCCAGTGGAGGTCTGGTCTCCACGGACTCCCCAGAACATTCAGATTCAGATATATTTGATAGCAAATGTGTGATGGCCAGGGTCTGGAAGTGGACACAGTCTAAGTTTGCATTTGTGAGATCTATCTGGTTTTGAAGGGATGGACATGGGGGTGGGAGGTGGCTCTGTGGTACAGTGCTTGCTTAGCACAATCGAGAACCTGGGTTTGATCCCTAACACAGTAAAAACAAAAGCGGAAAAGGAAGGCGTTTGGGTGGCCATTTCTTTGTGGGAGGGTCCGTGGGACAGGAATGTTCTATGAGGGGCAGTGAAATGGGACTGCTTCATGGGGGTGTGCTGGGACTGTCCTTTGTGTCAGAAATGTGATAGGGCTGTCTTGCCAGGGCAATCTGAGGAGACTGCTGTGGAAGGCAGGAGTTGAGACTGGATTTACATTCTGATTAGCTAAGGCCAGTTGTGAATTTATTAACACTATTTATTTCCTATTTCCCAGGTAGAATGTAGGATCAACCAATATAATATCTAGCTTGGATGATGCCTCACAGATGTATACCCAGTTTGCAAATTTCAGTGCATAAAAGGGAAAAGAAAAAGTGCTCTATAAGAGGGAGGGAACAATATTGAGGTGAATCCTATAATCACAACTGCCATGTTTATTCTTTGTGCAACACAGAAAAATGATGTCTCTACTATTAACAGGATAAAAAGAATTCTGTGTTGGACAGGCCAAGACCTTGCAGATACTGCTTATATTTGATAGATCTCCAAGGCTCGTCAAGACTCCAAAAATCTTCATGAGTTTACATTAGTTGATCATTTAGAATAGCTGCTCTTCTTTTGCAAGCTCCCGGTGGCTTATGAACATAGGAGCAAATTCCTGGATTCAATCTCTAACCTAAACACAGTTGCTTAGGTCCCCGCCTAAGCGGGGTGGTCATTCGGGGCAGTCTGATCCAGTCCACCTGGGAGTACCTAGTAGTCACACATACCTGTTTTACCAAAAAGATTATTAAATCTTCTGGATATTGGAGAGCTCATAGAAAACACGGGTGTAGCTGAACCTAGGGATGTCGACTGGAAGAGAGAGGGGAAAAGACAGTTACAAAGCAAGTTCTGTAGACCAGGGCTATTTGGAATCTTGGCGCGGGGGTGGGGGGGGCACCCTCGGTTAGCTTGCTGGCTTCTAGTGGTCACTTTCCTGGGTTTCTAATCCTATCCCTTTGGTCCAGTGGTGCTCTGAACGGAATAAATAGCTTGCATATATATATATATATAAACACACACACACACACACACACACACACATATATATATATATATATATATGAGTTGTGTTCTCCCTCCCTCTTACCCTTCACCCCCTCCATTCTTTCTCCCTCCCTCCTTCTCTTTGCCTGTTTCTCACTTCTTTCTTCCTTCTTCTCTTCCTCCCCCCTTCTTTGAATTCATCATTTGCTCCCTTCCCTCTCCCCTCCCCTTTCCTTCCCTTTCTCTGTTTTATTTTTGTTTTGCTAAGGAACCAGCTTAGCTTTTTTTACACACTAATCATAAGCTAAGTTGTATCCTTGCTTAAATGCATGTCTTACTGTTTTGTAGACTTTCTTTTTTTCTTTTACTTTAACTTTACTGTTAGTTTTTTTTTCAGGTATATTTTGGCATATAAAATTTGGCATATGTATAAAATATAAAAAATGCCCATCATATTCAAGGACAAGAGCTACACTCTAAGTAATGAACTACGGAAAATTTCACTATAATTTCTTACATTGTTTATTTCCTAATTCTTTGAAGTCTACCCAGAAACTTCTCACTGAGAATTTGATTTGCACCTAAAGGGCTCCGTAATGTTGCTCTTGGTTTTGGGTTTTGAGGCAGGGTCTCACTATGCAGATCTAGCTGTCCTGGTGTTATTTGCTAAATAGCCCAGGCTGGTCTCCAGCTCATGGAGATCCTACCGAACACTGAGAAACAAGTACCCACCACTGCTCTGGCTTAGATGTCGCCTTCAGATTATCTGCCATAGAAAGCTGTGAATCACATCTTAAAGAGATGTGTATGACACATTGAATCAGAAGACTGTGGCAAGAAGCAGTAATCGCTGAATAATCTGTGTTGGAATTAGTCACAGAAGCTGGGCGGGTTGTTTATATTTTACCCAACTGATCACAATCCAAGGTAAGAGTTAGTCTATTTCCTCCTATCACATTAATGGAGTCCATGAGGTATGACACAGGAAATCTCTCCAGGACCAAGCTTGCTTACCTTTGAGTGCTGAGAAGACCATCTTGACAACGAAAACTTATGCAGCAAAGCTTCCTGCACCTGCATTGTTTAAAAGAAACCAGTGTCAACTCAATAGATTTTGTTCGAGCATGTTAGACACTGCCAGAAACATGAAACTTCCGTTGTTCTTACCTTCTGATCCCAGAGGCAGCCAAAGAGTAAAATGAAGAGCCCCTGTGGAAAGAAGTAAGGACTGCATTTTAATGGAGCACCGTCATCTAGTTCCTCAGAAAAACTGTGAAGCAGGTGTTGACTCTGTGCCAACTCTTTCCTCATCTGAGTGCATGTGATAAGTCCAGGACATGGTGGCATTAAGTTATACAACAGTTACACAGTGAGGGGCCTTAGACAATCGATGCTAGGGCAATAATTTCTATTTTCCTCCAACCATGAATGGGGTCATGCTAATACACTTCTCTAACCTACATTATTCCTTATTTACCCCTCTAGGTTGTGAAGATAATCATGGGATGAGGTATTTCTTTTCATGGAAGCATATCTTGAAAACCAATAGCTAAGAACCTTGTAGCCCATAACACATGGTGGTAGGAGTTGGGGTTCATAGAGTTTTGTCACAAGCATCCAGGACTAAGACGCTTCCTTGTCATCCATCTTTCCCTTACAGCTCATCTAATAAACTGGCCTCCACTGTAAGCGACTACATACTACAGGAGAACAAAGAAATGTTCTCACCTGAACACTACCAAAGGCATTGGAATATATAGGGCCTTCATTCTTCTACATATCTTTCTGGAGGAACTACGTTGCATCTATTTCTTGCAACTGGCTTTTGAGAACCTTCCTTAGACCAAGGTCTTTATTGGGCACTAGAGAGGGAGACACAGTGCCCAACAGGAAGCCTGTTCTTACAAAGCCAGAGCTTGCTGATGTTTGCAGAGATTAAATGGAGCCATGACCTGACTTAGTGACGGTGCCATTCTTACTTAAGAGATAAGGCTAGGGCAAGATTATCTTGAGTAAACAGCATCAGCTAGTTTAGAACGGTGACTCTCCTCCTAATTGTACTATGGGGACATTTGGAACTAAGTTATAACACAGGTGATAAGAGGTTCAAGGTTCCATGGAGGCAGAGAACTATGTCCCTTTGTGTTACTGAGTGCTTGTAATTACGGCTTTCTGATGCTTAGGTCTCCTGTGCATTCAAACCCTTCCCCGTTCCTCCTCTTGTTTGTGTTTCTATCATTAGTTCATCCCACGAAAACAGACATTTCCTGTGATCCCGGTACCTGGATATATGGCTTACCTGGAAGGCATTGAGGAGGGTGAATATGATGTGGAACACAGCATTACTCCCCTGGATCACTGTGGCAAGACCAAAACCCCAAGTGAGCCCCAAGAGTGGCGTGAGGACCCCGATGCTCTTGCTGATCTGGAACAGGCTGCTCTTCTCCTGCTTGCCTGGCTTGTCTCCGATGGAAGGTCTCAGGATCTTGGTGATGACCACGACCGTGATGCTCACATTCACCACCACGATAATCAAGGCTGGGATGGCAAAAGCCAGAAGTGCTCTGGTGTCCTCCCAGTTGAGCCAACATGCATTCTTCCTCATGTAGACTTCCTGCGGCTGGGTGACCCCCACTGTGATGGATGAGATGATGAGTGGGCAGCCGTAGCCTACGGTGAAGGCAATGGCTTTCTGGGTGGACTTGCTTGCATCATGCAGAATGAAAATCAGGCGGTAGAAGAGCATGAGGCCCAGGGTTAGCATCCAGAAGAAGACGCTGAGGTAGAAGAAGTGAATGAAGAAGGTGGCAGCCACGCAGGCTGTTTTGTTGAGTGGGTAGTGACCATTGTGGATAGCACTAGCCACAATAAACCAGATGTCAGCAAGCAGAAGGCAAAGAGCAATGTTAACTATGCAGATGTGCCGCATGTAGGAAGTCCGATTCTTGGTCACGGATTTCCACACCATGGTTTCCACCACTATACAGGCCGCTAAGCTGAAGATGGAAAACCCTAATCCGATGTAAGTAATGATATCCAGAAGTACTTTTAGGAGAGATTCTGAATCTGGGGAGTCTGGGGACATGAGGATGGAGAATGATGTCAGGTGGTTACATTTGCAAAACACCCTGTCCCTACTGTCCCTACCATCATCCTCCATAGAACAGCCACTGCTGTCCCAACCCCCTGTATAGCTGTCAAGGCTGAAGTTCCAGAAAACACACTGTGGCTTGCCACCTGAAGGATGGTTGTTCTTAAAAGTCATGGAAATCCTAAATGGCTTGATGATGCTGTGGCTGACAGTGGTTGTCATCACTAGGCTGTGGGAAGGTGTCTTTTTCTGTGCATCCTTGCCAAGGATGGCCTTGAGAGTCGGGAAAGCCATAGTGACAATAAACGAATCAGGCTGCAAGTTTCCCAGCTGACACTCATCGATGGCGACATCACCCCACAGGTCGGAGTCTGGGAAGACAAACTTCTGTTGGTAGACTTGGGGGTGGCCATGTTTTATGATCATGCTCTTCATCTGAACGTTAGGGTGGAAGAAGGATGGAGGAGTTTTGCCTCCCAGCTGTAGCACTTTGGTAAACCTTTCCACTGAATGCAGGAACTGAGAGCTCTGGTTGCTCTGTTGCTCTAGTAACTTCTCCCAGGAGTTCAAGGTGGACTTGTCTAAGATGACATTAATGGTAGCAAGCACATCCTGTAGACAAAAGAGACAAAAGAGCATTTCTCTGGGTGGTGGTCGGTGCGTATAAGTAAGGGCGGGGAGTAGAGAAGCTGAAGCACCGCAAGCAGAGATCTGTCCCCTGCTTTCTCACAACAGAACATGGCAGAGGTGGGGACCATAAGGCCATGGGACTGTGATGAGCATTTAGTAACAATGATTGTGAGAATCACCCCTATCACTATTAAGACTTACGTGGCTGTCTGGGCGGGATCTTATTTCTTAGCTTGCTTGGTTTTTGTATGTGTATGCATGTATATGTGTGTCTATGGGTGTGCATACTTTTGTGTGCATGAAGGTACTGAAGCCAGAGGTTAGCACTGGGTCCCTTTCATGATGTCTGTCCACGGGGTCTCTCACTGAACCTGGAATTCACCGATTCAATGCAATTGCATGGCTGGTATACCCCTGGGATTCTCCTGTTGCTTCCCGGCACTGGGAGTCCAGTCCTATGATCAGCTTTTCTACATGGGTTCTGGAGATGGAACTCAGGCTCCCATGCCTACTTGGTAAACACCTTACAAACATCTCCCCAGGCCCTTTGTTGATTGTACTTTAAATCAAAAGCCAGTGGAGGCTTTTTGGTAGGTGGCATGTCACAAGAAAGTCTCTAAAGATGTGCTCTAGCCCTAAGCATCATATAAGCCATGGGAGTGTTTGCAAGGGCAGCTTTGTTTCCTGATAAACAATTTCTTTCTCCTTTTCTTAAGCTTGGACCCAATGCTTTTCACTCATTCCCTCAAAAAATTAAAAATATTTTTCTCTGTAATTTTGCCTTGTCTGACCTATAGGAGAATAAATCTAAGGACCAGGCTGAATGACAGCTTATAACAGGATATATCCTGATACCTAAGCCTTGGGAATGTGACCTTATGTGAAGAGATAGCCTTTACAAGTTTAATTGCATTAAGGATCTGTTCTAGTCAGCTTTAACTGTCAACTCAACACAGCCTAGAGCCACAGGTGTTGCCTGAGAAGAATTCTCAATAGGTGAATTACCTAGAACAGAATGGCAGATGGGCATGTCTGTGAGAAATTGTCTTGGTTGGGCCCAATCCACTGTGGGCAACCTCATTCCCTAGGCAGGTGACCCTGAGCTGTATAAGAAAGCAAGCTAAGCAAGAGCCTGTGAGCAGCCAAGTTCCATTCCTCTACAGTTCCTGTTTCAAATCCCTACTGTCACTTTCTCATATGAACTAAAATAAACTTTTCCTTCTCAAGTTGCCTTTGGTTGTGCTATTTATCACAGCAACAAAATGAACGTAGGTAATGATTTATTGTGCATTATCTGGTGACTCCCAACTCCAATAATATCTATACAAAATACAAAAGACAAAAGGGGGGGAATTGGATAGAGATTGGGGTAATGCTGCAGGATTGAAAGTATGCCTGGATTCCCCAGAGCTAGAGAAGAGAAGAAAGGTTCTTGCAGCTCTGTTGAAGGGGACATGGTTTTGCATCCACCTTGAGTCATCTCTAGAACAGTGAGTGACACAATACATTTCTGTCCAAGCTACCCTACCCATAACTGTTTGCTGTCCTGGCCCCACCCCTAAACTTAAAGCTTTGCACTTTGCTACTCTACTCCATGCTTGGCCTCTTGTTGGATGTGGCCACTAGGAGGCAGCAATGATAAGAAGGCGGGAGTGAGGGAAGTTGGCCTAAATCATCAATGTCCCATTGCCCTTCCTCTCAAGCCTGTCTCTGGTAAAAACCACATTGGTAAAATCTACCACTTTTGGGGAGAGTGCTCTCCTCCAAGACTTCAGCTCTCACTGGACTCCAGTTCTGTGATTTCCAAATTTTTGTCTTAAGTGTGGTAATGGCTTATAAAGGCCCTGATCTCTCAGTCCCTGCCAGCCCTCATGTATTTTATTCTGACTTAACCTCTGCATGTCTCCCTTCATGAGAGCCTCTCCATTTGAACTCTTAGGAGTTTTCTTTCCTCCACAAACAACAAATACCTCCCAGTTCACGAGACCTTGGAGAATCTTGTCTTTGTTTCCTTTCTGTTGCTGTGACAAATACCTGAACAAAAAAAACTTAGGGGTCTACAATTCCAGATTACAGCCCATCGTGGCAGAGAAAACTGACAGCAGCAAGGACTTAAGAGAACTGAAAATATTATATCCACAGTCAAGAGCAGAGAGCTATGGTTTCATGCATGCAAGAACTCGGCTCACATCCTCTACTCCTATATAACCCAGGATCCCCAGTCTAGAGAATGGTGCCAACCACAATTAAGACAGGTCTCCCTATGTTAATGAATTTTATAAAGAGTCTCTCATAGACCTTGTCTGAAGCTGTCCTTTCATAAGTGTGCCAAAAGCTCTGCCTCCTAGGCTTTAGCTTGACAGCATCATACTCATCTTGTACATATTTTGGAACCTTTTTAATTCCTAGAAAGCTAGTAAGAATCCATTCTATATACACTAACAAATGAAAACAGAGATCCTTCAAAGAAATTGAGATCCCTCTGATCTAGAAGCCGTAGCCTGCAAGGCATATTGGGCTATTCTCGTGTCCAAATCAGTGCCCTGGAAAATGAGTCTACATGGGAAAGGAGAAATGCTTCCAGAACACAAGTCCAGAGGTGTGAGAAATGAAGACTCCAAAGTCCCACAAGGCTTAAGTACACTTACCCTCATCATCTCCGAGTTCACTTGGGTTGGAACTGTTGAGAGCAAATCAAGGATGCTGATGATGGCTCCCAGGCTCCCTGGAGATGAGCGGATATCCTGTTCCTCCTTCCCAGCACTAACAGAGAGGTCCCTCAGGAATGCAGGGAGCTTCTGGTCCTGGGAGGGGCTCTTGATCAAAGCCTAGTTATTAAAAAAATAATTCCAGAACAAATGAAGATGTTTTGACCCTGGTGATTTGGAAGCTGTGGTCCCCGATTTTCTTAATGCCTATAATCAATAGTATGTGCTATTGTAAGTTCAAGCCTTCCCTCCTTCAACTATCTGTGAGTGATCCTCAGGATGGAAAAGACTTAAGATGCCATGTATACAGAAAGCAAAGAGCTAAACATATGCTAACCTGAAGTCTAACTTGAAGTAAAGGAGTGATATGTGTGATTGCTATAGAGTTAAAGTAAAAAAAACTTGTCACTTCATATGGAAAGACATCTACCATTCTTTTTTCCCCTTATACTTCTGATTGTGAATATGATTGCCCCTCTGTTCTATACTGTTCTACACTGTTCTATATCTGTTATCTCAACCTAATTATTAAAAGTGTCCTCTTTTATTCTCATAGTCCTGAAAGGTACTATGCAACTAATTACTAATAATTTTAATAATTATTAACAGTGTCATCTTTTACTTTCATAGTCCTGAAAGACATTGTGCAAGGTGCTGAGGATGTGAAGCAAACTGTAGTCCTATGCAGCTGTGAAATATACGAACCTCAAAAGAGACCAACAAGGTAAGATATTGCAAATGTTGCAATAGAGGCACTCATGTCGTGACAGTAACAAACCACTGTCTAATTGGAAGTAGGGCTCATTCAACAAGAGGGAAATCATGCCTGCTCCCTGGGGCTAGTGAGGTCATGGATCTTACAGTAGAACCATATATCACCACTTCACTAAACCACATAATGCCTGACTCATTTTAAATTCTTACCCATATGCCCACGGATAAATAGAGCTTCCTACCCTCACCCAGAAAACTTTTCTTTGTAATAGACGGAAACCATTCCAGAAGCCTATGCCTGGTCAAAATGCAAAAAATAAGTGAGCATGGGGCATCCAGCTCAATAGATACTTGTGCTTAGGACTCAGGAAACGCTGAGGAAGAGGAGATGGAAAGATTGTAAGAACTTGGAAATCAGCTGTGAGTTGTTTCTCCTAGAAATGACAAAGGAGGGTTCACCCATACTACCTCAGTAACATGGCTGCCTCAGCAAGACCTGTACAAGGACAACAATAGTAGACACGTTACCACGCAAAGGGGAAATTTCACGGGGTCCCAACCCTGGACAAAGAGCTACAGGCAAGAAGGGACACTGAGAGGAGAAGAAGTAGTCTCCCCAGGGATGAGTTTCCTAATTGGTTATCCAATAGCAAGTGGTCAGCCCTGAAAGCATATCCATATAAGCAACATTGAATGTATTGAGAAGGCTGTGTGTGTGTGTGTGTGTGTGTGTGTGTGTGTGTATATATAAAAGAGGAACATGATGCATGGGAAGAATTGGAGGAAGGAATAGGAATGGAGTAGATTTTTGTGATTATATTTTAATAATAAAAATACTATTATAAAAATAAAGAAGTTGTCCACTTTTATTCTCCGAGTATCTCCACTCAGATGACAGAGTCTATCGTCTATCTGTACACATCTGTTTTCTAACTAGCTACATTTTTAACTCTTTAAGAAAAGTGAGTTGAAAAAAAAATCTGTCTTCTAAAGGAAGCCTCTGATGAGTGTCCCTTCTGTGAACACACAGAAAGTTGTATTTAAAATACTGAAGGCTGGGACATCTCCACCAGAGCCATCTTGTAGTTTCCTAATTAAACTATTTGTTATTGAATCTTATTTTTATACTATCTCTTTGTGAAAATATTATAGCTATTTGATGTCAGAGCTATTTGAAGGAGATTACCAAGAAAGTATAAGACACCACCCCCTTGCCGGTCTTGGACATGAGGTTCTGAGCAGTTGAGGTTAGGCACCCAGGTGACCCTAGAACACACCACACACTTTGTTGCCTTCATATTCAAGTGTAGGTGTTTTGAAAGCATTTCTAGGCTTCATTTTTTTTTTTTCCGAATGGTTAATCTTGATAGTCAGCTTGCTGGGTTTAGAATCACATGGAAGCAAACTTCTAGGCTAACCTAAGAGGGGGTTTCTAGAGTGGGGTAACAGAAGTGGGAAGACCCACTGTAAATGTGGATGGCACCATTCCCTGGGCCTGGGTCCTGTACTGAATGAAAAGGGGAAGGCACTGAGCATCAGCATCACCTCTCTTAGCTTCCTGACTGCAGATGCCATGTGACCAGCCTCCTTAGGCTCTCCCTCCCATGCCTTCCCTGCCATGATGGACTTCACCCTCCAGTGGTGAGCTGAAACAAAATCTTCCTTCCTTCCTTAAATTGCCTTTGTCATATATTTTGTTGCAGCAATTAGAAAAGTAGCCAGTAGAACATACTTTGGCCATGCATTTGGTCATGCTTGGCCAATTTTCCTAATTGCTGAGAATTCCACCGAACCAGAGAGCTACCCCACTCCAAGGGCTTAGAGTCTACAGTTCCAGGTTCACCTTGGCCAGCTTGAGCAAACCGTTGATTGGGGCTGAGATGCAACCCCTTTTCTCCTCCTTCCACTGGGAGCCCACACATTTGTACGTGATGATCCCACCGATGATCTGGCCGGGGCTTCTGGCAACACTTGAGAACTGGCACAGCTTCTGAATCACTTTCCCAGGCTCCCCGATACCTATTACAGGATCCCTGCATGTGATATTCTCCCCTGTATCAGAAACATGGAAATAGGAAATAAAAGGGACAATCAGGGGTTTCTTCCACCCACAAAGAAGAAGGAAGTCATGTCATTTGCGCGTAAGTGGATGCAACCGGAGATGACCATATTAAGCACATTAAGCCATTCTCAGACAGATATTGTGTTGTTCCCCTAGAGATGGAATAATGTAGGGGAACAAAGAGCACTATTGGGGGAGGGGAGGAGAGGATGAGAGTTGGGAGGGTGAACTCAGTATACACTGTGCACTTGTATGAAGCTGCCCTTGTATTATACAGTGCTGTGTTCAACACAAACTTACAGTGACTTAAAAAAAAAAAGAAAGAAAGAAAGAAAGAAAAATAAAATAGAAAAAAAAAAATCAAGACCAGTAGTTAAGGACTGTATATGACTTCTTCAAAAAAAAAAAAAAAAAAAAGAAAGTTGACACCTTTAATTCAAACACTTGAAATCCAAATGCCCCTAAATAATGACCATTTCTAAGCACCAGCAGGGAACCACAGGTGGGCAGTTACCCACTCAGAAACCCTTTCCATGTGTAAAATCATCTCCCTTTAGTTTTGTTTTGCTGATGATTGGCCTGCGGCCTTGTGCATGGGGGAGAGGGATGCTGTCTCAGCTGTGGAGATCTACCTGCCCTGTCCCAGTCAAGATTATTAAAAAAAAAACGCATACAAGAAATTCAAAAGAGACAGTTTCCAGGAAGAGAAGGAAGAAGGAACCAAGATCAGGCTGCACAGACTTTGGTGCTAGAGTTCACACTGCCTTTGCTCCTGGTGGCCTGGGGAGAACTAAACTCCTTCATGTTGTTCTGGGTGTTCCAAAACCCCTTATTGCTTTCAACCTCGTACAGTGGTCAGTTGCTGTTCTCTGCTTCCTGCCCACCTCTAATACGGAGAACTCTCAGTTTGGACAGAGGAAATATAAACCATGGAAACAACAAGAACCGAATGTATGCCATCCAAATAAGAGACTACCCTGTCCACCGAGGGTTTTAAGGCCATATAGTGCCTTCCTACTTCAATGGTCCTAGTTACCAACATGGACAAGAATGTTCACTGAGCATTTAGTAAATGGGACAAACAAACTAGGAGGAAGAATTAGGAAAACTTTGTCTAGCAGGGATGCTATTACCGGAAATCCTCTGTAACACGTTGCCTCTCTGATGACTGGGGGCAGTTTCTTCTACATGAACTCACATAGAAACAGTCACACAGCTCATGACCTTTCACCTTGAGACTATGCCAGGTCACACTGGCTCAGTGGTGACAGAGGATGCGGAAAGTAGGCACCCATTCTTCCCGCCAATTCTTTTCAAATGACTTCAAGTCAGGAAAAGAGTGCTTTTGACAACACATGCCCTCAACATTATGTCTAGAAATCTCAGCAAGACACAGATACTGCTCACTCCAGTCTGCCTCAAAAACCACCCCCCCCCCCACTATCAGCAGTAGAGTTAAACCAAACAGGCTAATCTGTATAGTTGTCAGAGCATCTGCGACAGCATCTTCAATCACCTCTCCATCTTACGCCTAGGCTAGAGACCGGAGAACATGGCTGCTTTTTCTTTTAGTGTTCCCTATGGTTTACCCAAGACCTGTCACAGTAAATGTATTTAACGGATATTCACTGAATATCCAAATGAAGGAAGCAATGAACGAGGAGGCTCTATTCACAATCACATGATTTTAAAGTAATTTTAACGCACTTACCTGGAACAAGGGTAAGCTTCATGGATGGGCTCCGGACTGAGGTGTTGACCGCATTGGTAAAGTGGCAAAACACGTTGATGCTTTTGGGACACCGGGAAAGGAAGTTTGGTGGCAGGCTGTATTTGTAGCATGCTTGCTTGCCATTGACTTCTCTTTCTAAAGATAGTGTTATGGAGAATACCAGTTCACAACATGAACAGCCAAGACATGAAGTTTCAAGATGTTCCAAGACAAACATCTAGGAACTTGTGTAATTTATGTTTAGTGTGGTTTTAGCGTGATAATAACCTCTGGCTCTCAGAGTAGGTCAATTCATCTTTGAATGTGTGCTGACTAAATGTCACCAAACCATTCATAATGTTGTCTGAGGAAGGCAGACTGTTAACCACGATTGACGGATATTTGGTTTTCTGCTGAGCATGGCACCCTTTGAAGATCCTGCCACTGTACCAGGGGTGGGATGTGGTGGGAGTGGCTTGGGTACCATTCACAGAACAAAGGCCGGGGCTGGAGAGATGGCTCAGTGCTTGAGAGCACTGGCTGCTCTTTCAGACAACCTGGATTTGGTTCCCAGACCCACGTGGTGGCTCATAACCATCTATAACTCCAGTTCCAGGGGACTCTGCACCCCCTTCTAACTTCCACAGTCTCTGTACAAAAGTGATAAACACACAGACATGCAGGCAAAAGCTACTTATACACATAAAATTTGTAAAAATCTTTAAAAAATTGGCTGGCTTGTTTTTTTGTTGCTGTTTTTGTTTGTTTGCTTGAGACAGGGTTTCCCTGTGAAACCCTGGCTGTCTTGGAACTCACCCTGTAGACCAGGCTGGCCTCATGTACCACAACTGCCTGGCCTAAAACAGTTTTAAAGGGCAAGGTCCTCCTGACCCCGAGAACCTTAACTTTGAGGCTCTGGGATTCTAGTAATGGTAAATGCCTTCAGGAAGCATTGTTCTTGCTAGAGTTTGGGTCTTGCTTTCTTTTCCTCTCTATACTTGGCTGTTTCTCTCTCTCTCTCTCTCTCTCTCATGTGTGTGTGTGTGTGTGTGTGTGTGTGTGTGTGTTTCGAGACGGGGTTTCTCTGTGTAGCCTTGGCTATCCTGGAACTCACTCTGTGGACCAGGTTGACCTCTAACTTAAATTGATCCACCTGCCTCTGCCTCCCAAGTACTGGGATTAAAGGCATACACTAACATTCCCAGCTTTTTCTCCTTCCTTCCTTCCTTCCTTCCTTCCTTCCTTCCTTTCTTTCTTTATTTCTCCTTTTAGATTTATTTACTTTATGTATACCAATGCTGTCTCTATCTGCATTCATGCCTTTAGGCCTCTTTTCCTTTCCTTTTCTTTTTTCTTTTTCTTTCTTTTTTTTTTTTTTTTTTTTTTTTTTTTTTTTGTGACACAGTCTCACTAAGTTGCCTAGGTCAGCTTTGAACTCCCCATGTTGCTTAGGCATGAATCCATCTGTATCAGCTTCCTGACTAACAGGGATTATATCCCTGTACAGCAAGTGTGGCTCTGCCTCCAGCAACTCTTTTAAGGGTGAAACCTCATACCTATGAGCCAGTGTGTCCTACCCACGGGGTGGTCTGCCTCTTACCGGCAGGGAAGTATGAGGAGTCGACATGGAAAGTCACGATGTACTCTTGCCCTCGCTCCTCCTCCACACAGCACTTGAACTGATGGGGACTGGACCACAGGCCACTGGCTTCCAAAGGGTCCATCATGATGTCTGACTCCAGGGGCAATGGGTGAACCGTGACATCCTTGGTGGCGATACTGTATGAATTCTTATATCGAAATATGCAGTGGTAGGTTCCTGAGGGGAGGGAGACAAAATGAAGTCATCGCTCCTAAGAGGCATCTTTGGTGATAAGAAGAGCCTTAGCTTTCCTTCCCAGACTTGGGTGGGGACGCTGGGACAGCTTGATTGACTTCCTCCTAGTACTTCAGATGTCTGAACAACTAACCCTCCTTCTTTCAAGTGTACATTCACTCCACCCAATCAAATTAAGTGGCTTATTCAAGGTTAAGAGTGAAATGGGTGGCAAACGTCCTGCCCCAATCTTCTCCCGCAACCAAGGAAAGAATGGGGACTTGGTGGTGTGCAGAGAAGATCTGGGACGTGATGGAGCACTGAGGTACTATCACACCCACTTGTCTGTCTTAATGAGTGATCTCTTAGGCTCCAGGACACTGTGGCAGCAGAGGACAAGCCACCTTTTAAGCAGCTGCCCTGGACATTGAGGTACTTAGCACCGTGACTCCTGGATCACAAAGATCCATGGATGTCAGCTGTTAGCACACGGTCCTCCTGATTCCTAATGCTTTCCAACATGGACAACATAGAGATACAGGCAGGACACATGTCCACTTCCCCGCTTAAAACTATGCATATAAACACTCCCTAGAGTGTTCATAGCACAGCTGGGTAGTATAGTACCAAGCATCTAGTAAAGTTGTATTATTGTTTGTGTATGTATATGTGTGTATGTGTGCATGGAGGTGCATGTATGTGTACATATGAATATATATGTGTATATACATACATGTAGAGATCAAAGAACAAACTCCAGTCTCATGCTTCCTAGGCACCTTCCATTTTTTGTTTGAGACAGGGTCTCTCATTGGCCTAGAAGTTTGCTACCTAAGCTAGACTAGCCAGTCAGCAAGCCTCCAGAGGTCTGCCTGTCATGACATCTCTCCCCTCTACACTACCACCACCACCACCATTGTTGAGGTTGCAAGCTGTCACTACTGTGCCTGGCTTTTATGTGGCTCCTGGGGATCAAACTCTGGCCCTCTGGCTTTACTGACTGAGCCATCTCTCAGACCCCTGTAAAGTTATTCCCATCGTCATGATGGCAGAAGCAGGCAATAAACTTAAGACACTAACTCCAGTCCAGGCTGTGTAACTTAACTTGTACCACCACGATTATTATTGCCTTTGAGCATCATTTTCCACATCCGAAAGACGGTATAATGCTATCTACCCCCAAAGGACCATCATGTCACCCACACAGAACGATTAATATAGTCATCATAGGTATGTCCCCAAGACCGAGCCTTCAGGGGTAGCTGCTGTCATTGCATATTTCCAGGGGTCTAGTCAGCCTGCTGCAGGGTCTGGCCTGTCACTTACCATTCCACTCCTTGGTGGAGGTCTTCACAGTCAGCACGGACTCCGCTCCACCCTGATAACTCCGCATGGTATAAAACCTTGGGTGGATTTTAATACCAGCTGAAATGTTCCAGTATACCTCATCGTAGTTACTCACATCGCTGAGGCATGTTATAGAAAAGCTTTGTCCCTCAGAAACAGAAATTGGGTCCGGGGTTATTGTTAGGTTGGCTGAAAGAGTGCAAACAAAACAGACAAGACAAAACCGACAACAAATCCAATGTTTAGTTTTTCTGATGACATCAACACAGGAGTGAAATTTAAGACAGAGACAGCAACACGGACCGTCCTGACTCTACTCGTGTCAACGCGGGATTGGTACCTTGCTGCTCCTGGGCTTTACTTGTTTCTAGGCTGTTCCGGGTGGTGCTCTGAACTGTACTCACTTCCATCACATGCCTTAGGGACTCGGACACTTCCCCTTTGTAGCTGGAATTATCTCCTGATGATTAGCAGGGTAAAAGGTTGCAAACTTAGGGACGTTGTTCTTAACCCAGGCTCCCCTCCAACCTCCTCTGTGAGCCCTCAAGGGAAAAATAGAGGACTGGATTCTCACAACAAGTCATATCAACCAATAAACAGTTTCCCCCATAATACTGCATTGCATCTCGGAAGGTTCCTAGCTGTATCACCAATGCCACAGCACTGTAATGTAGCTTTGCTTCTTTCTATATTTGTCTCCATAAGAGAGGCAGCCTTTGACCCCTGTTGGTGCATCCTTACTGACAGTCTGGTATACAGATAGTGTCTCATAAACAAGAGTGAATTCTTGATCTACCTTTTCAGTAGACAGGTCATAAAGTACATTTTCCAAATAATTGGGCTCCTATTATCTCAGGCAGACTAGGATGTATAGGCACCTGAATATCATTTATAGCCATTTTGTTTTAACCACATATATGCTATAAGCAAGGTTACATAACATGATGGATTACATGTTTACTGCTGTTTTGGGAATTCTCTCACAGATTTGTAAAATATTGTTTGTTGACAATGTTGAGACCATTGTGAATATACGTGTTGATATGAAAATCCCACTGTTGTTCTATCTTTTCTCTGGGAGCATGTCTTTCCCATCACTGACATCTCAAAATGGCATTTGCTTCAGTTATCCATGGAAGTGAACTAACTGCCTCCACAGGCTTGCCTCTCCAGGCAATGTGAACCCTATTCTTAAATCTAAAGAAGCAAGCACTTTCCACAATGTCTTAGGATTCTCACACTGAGGTATAGCTCCAAAGTGTGCACATGACACAGTCTGCCCTCCTTGACTGGAGGATCTGGAAACAGCTCTCTGAGAGCTAGCCATGTCTGTAGAAAGCAAAGCCTCATGGACTCAGAAATCTGGTTCTTTTGTCCCCAGAAGAGGTTAGATGATCAGACCAGTGACTCCCAGCAAGGATTAACCATGCCTCTCCATGCCCCAGGTTCCCAGGTAAGAGGTAAGCCTTGATGAGCAATCAGGAGAGGAACCAGGTACCTGCCCTAAAGGCACTCCTGGGTAGGTACTCTGGGATCTTTGTGGTTTTCTGTAGTGAAAGCTGCCATGTCTGTGCACTCTTGTTCTAACTCAGAATGGTGCTGCAGACAGGGACCCACATGAGGCCCTGTACGAACACCAAGTCCCAATAGCAGAACACTTTTAGGAGACAAATAAACACTGTTAGATCCTGACTTTCATGACTTCTCAAAAAGGCTGTAAATGGTTCATTTTCATAAGCTAGGTATAAAAATACTTTTGTAGTTGTGACTCTACAATGCTAGTTGATGAATGATGCCTTTATTATTTTGATTGGCATATGGCCAGTGTTATGGTTTGAATGAGAAATGGTCCCCCACCCCCGCATTGGCTCATGTTTTTGAACACTTAGTTCCCAGCCAGTGATATTCTTTGTGGAGGGTAGAAAACCTTTAAGACATGGAACTTGCTAAGGAAGTACATCACTTTAAGGTTTTACAGCCTGGCGCACTTCCTATTATCTCTTTGAATCTTATATGTGGATGACACACACACACACAAAGGACAGTAATAGAAACCTCACTAAGAATTGAGCGATTGAAACAAAGCTTTTTGTCCTTAGTCAACCACAGGACAATGCCAGTTGGTAAGACTGCCCTAACTTTCCACAGTGTTATCTGTAGAATGGGTATGCTGGAAGAGGAATCAAGGAATCAGGGAAGTGAGCGAGGCTGTTGGAATTTAAGGAGGGGACATTGAATTGTGGGAGGAAAGGGGTTAGCTAGCTGCCACAAGAACTCAGTGACAACAGAACTAACCTGGCTTTCCCCGCCCACCTGCTTTCTTTCTCAGGATAACCTGATTGATTTCTCACTACCCTTTCCCACTGACCCTTCCAAATTCAAAATCGAGCCCATCTGACATGATGTGGTATAGAGGGACATCTGCCCACCATCCCACTCCCAGGAAAAGCCCAGTTTTATTTTGCCCATTGATGATGGTGACACACACCTATCTAAACAGTCTATGGCGAGAGTTCTTACCTATAGAGATGAATGTCACAGCTATGTTCTTACTGCCTCTGGCTCCGTAGGGACTGACGAACTCACATGTGTAGGTGACTGTTGTTCCAGAAGACCCACTGGGACACTGGGTGCCATCTGCCTTGAGGGTGTAAGTGCTGCAGCTAGAGTCTAGGTCTGTTTCGGGGACCCCTGCAATGACACAAACAAATCTTTCCATATCACCGTTGTCTGACTCTGAACTGCTAGCAAGTTTCTTAGTGGAAACTTCAGTTTTATACTTTTTTGGTTGCGGGTAGATTTATACTTCCAAACATCACTGGTCCAATTCCCACATCCAGCCCACCCTCTCAGCCATCTTTACTTCTTGCCCAGGGCTCTATAATAACCCTGTGTATGATGTTTCCTACCCCATTCCCATTTTCTCTCTGCCTCCTTCACCTGCTTTCCTAACTTGTTCCCCCCCCCACACACACACACTTTGGTTTATTTTATCACAGCAACAGAAAAGTAGCTCCTACAACCAGCTTCCTCCCTGTTGCAGCCACTCCAGAGATTTCCACTTTCTTTCACTTTGACTAAATCACTTCTCAACTATCTGAAGACGTCCTCTCTCTGTTCATCCTTTCTGGAGCCGAGTTCTCAGAAGAAAGACACATCTGCATTAACGATTCTACTGTAGAGAGCTAAAACGTCGCCCTCTGATAGGGGTCTACTCACGTGACAATCCCTCTATTTTCTCCAGCTCCAACTCCTTGGTTTTTGTGATGTTTTTGCATTTGTTAGCTCTGGTTCCCCACGCCCATTTTTCCTTACATCTTTGAAATTGGCCTTTGTCATCCTCTACTTTACCAAAAGTCTTTCCTTAAGACCAGCAGGGACCACCTCCTCTTTTCTCCATCCAGGCTTCTCTTCATAGTATCTGCACCCCACCCTCCCCACTGCCGGTCACCTTCCTGCTGTGGCTGCTAGAACCTTCAGGTCTTTCATTTATTTGTTTGTTTATTGTAATCATCCTCCCGGCCCCCTTTCTAAGCCCCTCTCCTGAGCACCCTTCTTAAATGTCCATGTTGCTCCCTGTGTTGTCCTTGACCCCACCCCCTCCATCCCAACCCGCTCTTTCTCATCTTTTCTTCACGCCTTAAGAAAGCTTTGACTTCCAGTTACAAACTGAGATTGGATGACTTCCCACACTACTCTAAAAGGAATGTCCTGGTTGGAAACTTTTGAGGCAAATTCCCAAGTGTTGATTTGACATCTCCGGTACCCTCAAACTCAACACGTGCGATTTATTTATTTTTCCCCAGACAAAACTCCCACATCCAGTGTTTCCTCTGGCAGAAACACAAACTTCAAAGTTTAAAGGCCACTTTAATTACCTGCACTTCCTCACATTGTGCGTTCACGTCCACTCCCTTGTAAATTTGCTCTTTGCGCTTAGAGCCCCGACACAAGGCTGTCTCAGTCAAAGCATGGTCACTCTCCTGGGACCCACTGTTTGCTCTCTGACCTGTAACAAGGCCTCAAATCTCACTTAGTCCCCTCCTCAACTAACTCACGCTACCTGTGAGTTTCATTTTCATTTTGTAGTTGACCTGTTCTTTGGTTTTGAGACAGGGTGTCACTATATAGCCTAACCTTGCCTTGAATTTGCTGTGCAGTTCCGGTTGGCCGTTGACTTGTGATTCAGCCTCCCTAGCTTCAAGTACAAGTAAACACCATGGCACCCGGAAGAATGTTTAGTTTGTTTCAAAGCTCTGCTCATCTATAGTACTTCTACCTTTAAATTCTTACAGTGTGTAAAGCCAGATGTTCTTAACACAGTGTGTGGCTCTGTGAACTAAGAGACAGATCCCCAGTAGGCAGACAGATAGGGAGAGGCAATTAGACAACAGAGACTTCCGGTTTCCTTCCCAACTTTCTGACCTGAGGCAACAGCCTGGCATCTCAAGACAAAGACCTAGCGGGCCCTTTCCTCCAACTAGTATTCCCCACCTTGCAGTGGACCAGCCCAGAAAGTTCAGGGCTGGATCAGGACATATTTACCCTAGGGCTGTGAGCCTATCTGGCTCTGTTTTTTTTCCAACCAAGTATCTCTAAATTGAAGAAGAAAAACCCCTCAAAGACCCTTAAAACACCAGAGAGGAAGGATGTGGTTTTAGGCTCAGAGACCCTACCTTTGCAGAAGGTATTTCTCTTGCTTTCTCCCGATAGGCCTCACTGTTTCCTCCTTGCTTATGAAATCCCTCTTTGGTGCTGAGATTTCTCCTGTTGCTGCCCTTTGTCCTTGAGACATTTTGGGGCCTTTAAATTCTTTAACTGGGAGATGAGACAAACCTGACCCTAGATGGTAGCAGCATTTATCACACAACATGCTCTAACCGGTCCCTCTCCTCTGAGCCTGCTTCTTCACCCTCTCAGAACCCAAACCACATCCTGGCTCTCAACACACCGCACAGCCTAGGACCTGGATAGCAGTGTTTGTAACTATACTTTCCCCTCCTTTTCCTGTTGAATGTAACTTACAAGTCACCCGGCGGGCAAGCCAATAAACCATGCAGAGTAAGAAAGACATAGAAACAGACAGAATAACAGAATGTGCTGAGGACAGGCCCCACACAGCACGTAAGTTGGTGTGTGTGGGGGGTCACTTTAGATGAGTGTCTACGAAGGATTTCAGAGGAGAGGAGGTTATTCTAAGACTTAGAGAAGGACAGCTGAGACTTTAATAGGAATCAGGGCTGTGCTGTGATTAAAGGCTGTGGGTGTATAAACCAGCAATCCTCACTGGAGAACTTAGCACTCCATCAAGTTGCTTTGGGGGCCAGGGCTGGGGTCAGGATGGGAGGATAACAAGCTATGCAGGAAATCCATTGTTCTGATGCTTGGTCAACCTTGCCAGACTTAGGAAAGTCTGCAAAGGGGTCATCAGCGAGAGAGGTCCCAGAGCATTGCACTGCAGACTTCCTGGTTCCTCTGCCAGAGGGCGAGGTCTGTCACCTTCCAGGGTTGAAAGCCCCTCCAGCAGAGCCATGGGAATTGTGCAAGGCCTCTCGTCCATCTGGCAGCTCCTTCAGGATGCCTGTGCCACCTTTTCCTTACAAGCCAGGGAAGTGACTACATGTTCCCTAGCGACACCTTTCAGAGTTCTCCAGATGTCTTTCTCAGCCGTTGAAGGCCTAATCGGATGCCGCAGGTGAAATGTGCTTCATAAGCTAGAGGTTCTCAGGAAAGTGTGGGTGGAAGGAAGCTGGTACTAACAACACAGCACAGTCTTCAGGGCAAAGATTTTGTAAGGGAACCACTCGGCACACTCAAAGGTTGTAGAGCTGCATTTTAAAGACTTTTTTCTTTAAGTGTTAGTAAGTAACATGGCTGTTTCTTAAAAGGAGAGATGGCGTGGTCTCAAATGGTTTCTAAATGGCAAATGGTCCTTCTGGATCTAAACTGCTGGCATCTTGGCACAAAACTGGCTCACGGGATGGAGAAAGTGATTGTAGCTGGTCTTGTGAAATGAGATCAGTGGAGAATCCCAATTCCTTTCTTTTCACATTGTGATACCCTTGGGAAAGTAATTTACTCTAGAGCCTAATTTCCTTATTTCCTCATTGAAGTAAAACTACTAGCTTCGAACTTGTGATCAAGTTTAGCTGTGATCACTAGCAGTCATGTTTTTAGTGGATTAACATGTTTGGAAAACTGTTAATAAGAAGTCACTATTTCTGCTTTAATTTTATGAAGATTTATCTTATGTTCGGTGTCTGAGCACTTTGCCTGCACGTGCATCTGTGCAGCACATGTATGCATGGTGTCCAAGGAGGTCAGAACGGAGTATCAGATCCCTGAGAGCTGGAATTGCAGATGATTGCAAGCAGCCAGGTTCTCTACAAGAGCAACAGATGCTCTTGATAGCTGAGCCATGTCTCTGGACACCATTTCTGCTTTTCTTTACTATTATTATCATTCTTTAGTATAAAGATCTCAGGGCAAACAAAAGCAGACTTGGGAACAAGGACCAGTGGGTAAAACACTTCCACATATGCATGCACGAGGATTGAAGTCAGATCCCCAACATCCTGTAAATTCTGCAGTCTGCCTATAACCCCAGCATGCAGAAAGGAGAGAGACCTGGGGGAGGAAGGGATTACTGGATCAATCAGGCTAGTTAGACTAGTGAAATTCCTGAGCTTTGGGTTCAAGAAAGGGAAAGCAAAATCAAGGAGGAACTTCAGTGTTAGCCTCTGCCCTTTATACATGGGTGCCCCCCCCCCACACACACTACATACATATACTTGCAAAAAGTTATGGGTAGGAATTTCCATGAAGTAACTGAAAGAGAAATAAGTCTGCAGAGAAGTGCAAGCTGGGATCAGAGACACACAAAAAAGCTGAAATAAGCATCTGCAGAAATAACTCCATGCACGGACGGACCTGAGAAGCTCCGGTCAGCCCACAGTGAAAATTTCATGACCTCAGCTTTAGCTTTTCGCTGAGGATGGAAAGGAAAGGAAGGATGGATGGCCCATGCTATGGACCTAAGTCAATAGGGTTACTCCCTCTCCTCTGTATCTGCTAGGATCTTGCCTACAACACTGCGTGATGTTTCCAAGCAAATGTTTTGGAGGCTAGTACTGGCATCCAACCTAGTTTTATCCCCCCCTGGTTCAGAATAAATGTCATGCCTCCTCTGCCCACAAGCTCTCTCATTTTTCTTGGCTGAAAGGCAAGCAAAGAGCCCTCTTTGCCAAAGGTCTTGATCTACGATTCTTACCTACAATTCTTATTTTGCCTTCCTGCTTCCATTCAATACTACTCCAGTTGGCAACATTCTCACTGCAGCAATTCAGCGATATAGGGTTGCTGTCACACACCACCTTCCTTTCTTCCTTGGCCAAAATCCGAATGGGAGTGACATCTAGCTTTTTGGCGTCCCCATATTCAAAAATATCCAATGTCAGCTTGCACCGATATTCACCTGTAAAGAAGACACAAAATTATGAATCGTTATCACTCCTATGGATGTCTCTTAATAAAATCGAACATCTCACGTAAAGTGGCATCTGAGATTTGATTCAAGAACCCCTAAAAGAACTTCCAGAAATGGTCGAGCCAATCAGACAGTTGTAGTAACATAAGGTAAAAAGTAGAGAAAGAGCTCCATTTCAGCATTCTCAGGGACAAGTGGGGGACTTTAAGACACAGGGAAATAAAATAGTAAGTCATGGGAATTGGAGGACCATGGACAATTCCTGGTATGCCATTTAATGCTGTGACAAAACCAGAATCTGCAAAGATGTGACAGGACTGATATATCCACAGACCTCTTCATTGTTGGTCCTAATGATTTCTGGTTTTAAGTGCAGTTGCTAAATATTGTGTGTCAGGCTCATTGTTAATTTCTGAAGAACTAAAATTTACGTTTCCGTGGTAGGCAGGCAGATGAGAGAAAGGATAAAGAGAGGGGTTGATAAAGGGAATAAGAACATTTTGGGAGGCTGGATATATCCACCACCTTGATTTTGGTGATGCCTGTTCAAGCATATGGGTCAAAACTTAATAAACTGTATACTTAAAATAATGCAGTATGTTATTTGCCAATTTTATCTCAGCAAACTAAATTTTTATAGATTAATTAAAATAAAATACCATAAAACTATACCTCATACTATGGAAAATTCAAAAATAAATCAGTGCGTTTGAATACCATTAAAGATAGCACCCTGGGTCATTGGGAAGATGGTTCAGGAGATATGCTATGCAAGCATGAGGGTCTGAGTTCAGATCCCTGGAACCTATATAAAAAGATGGAAACAGTAGCACGCATCTATAACTCTAGAGACAGGGAGGCAGAGACAGGTGGATCCCAGATCCCACTGACTGGCGGACTGTTGAGTGCTAGATTCAGTGAGATTCCTGGGGAGCCATGAAGAAAGACACTGAAGTCTGGCTTCTTCGTGGGTGTCTGTGAGTCTCCCTTTTCCTCGAGGCCTGTTGCCCACCAGTCCACAGGGACAAGGGGCAGAAGTGACACAGAGAGCCTGTGAGCATGATGGAGACAACACTCTGGGAGACAGCTTCAGTGAACCGGCTCAACTTTATTCCAGAGTCTAGGGAATATGTAAGATCGGGAACAGTAGTTGGGGATCATCTAATTTACATTAAACAGCATGCTCCTATATTAAGCATCTAGTACAAGCCTTAGTTAACATCTCTGGAAGCACGGCCCTATCATAACCCTCCTAGCGCAATGTCTATTTACCATGTAGGCAGCACGGGGACAGCTTCTGCAGGGAACTGTGTCCAGGGTCACACTAGAGACATCTGGACCTAGAGACAGTCTCCAAAAAAGGTCAGGTAGAGAACAGGGCAGGAGAGGGCTGAGGGATGGAGGAGGGTCATCCACGTTGCTGAGCTTAGAAACAGCTGCCAGACCACGGTAGGCTGCAACCTCTGACCAGCACAATCTTCCAGCAAATATGTACACACACACACACACACACACACACACACACACACACACACACACACACACGTGCCAAGGGATGAATTTTCCATTTTGGAACAGAAGCCATCAGGCTTCTTGTGGACAGCTCACCGCCATCCCCTGTTCTGTGTCTCTGGTCCGAACACACCATTCCCTTTCTCCCACAAGACTCAGGTCAGAAACACACCTGCATCTTGCTTCGTGAAGTTATATATGGTGAGGCTGGAGACCAAGCTCATGTTGTTGAGGGTGGAGGTGTGAATGGAGAATCTGCTGCCATTCTGGGTCTCAAAGCGTTTCTCTCCATGGTACCAAGATGCATTGGCGTGCAAGATTTCAGTTTCACACTCCAGGATTACACGGTCTCCTTCAAAGATGACTTCCGGGGTAACAGTGAACTTTGTTTCATCTAGGAATTAAAAGGAAAAATGTGAGGGTTATACGGCAATGAATGCAAGCCATGGAACACACTCTCCAGGATTCTTAGGGTGTCTTCCCAGCATCTTCCTGTCACAGTTCTGCCCATAGGATCCACGTACCACTCTTTGAGTAACAATGCTCCCTTTGCCTACTGATGCACCAAGAGCCCATGTCTGGACCCCACTGGAAGAGAGTATATAAAGTCACTATTTTAAATGAGCTGGAACAGCAGCTGGCAAGCCTCCCCAAGCATCAAAACCATTCAGGGTTAAGGTGTTGGTTAAGTACAGATGGGTCTTAATAGGGCTAGTGTTCTGCAGATGAGAGTGTTCTGAAGATGAGCTCTGAGGCCGCCCTCTAAAACAATGGGACACTATTTAGAGTCAGCATCTGCCGCTGCTGTCCCCTCATCAACCACAGTGGCAGCCCTACATGTATGGATCTTTTGAATACATGAACATAGAAAACTCTCAGTTTCTATTACAAAGCTCTGTTCCCATCTTCCTGACTCTCCAGTTTTGTGTTGGTCAAAGAAGGGCAGGTGTCACCCGGTGCTCCAGGCCTCCATAATAAGAAATATCAAATACCAACGTGATTTCCCAAGCCTTCATCCAATCCCTCAATTATTTATTTATTTATTTGGTATACACAATATTACATTTAATTATGTCCTTTTTTTTTTTTTTTTTTTTTTTGGTCTGCTTCAAGACAGGATTTGTCTATGAAACACTGTCTGCCCTGGAACTTGCTCTGTAGACCAAGCTAGCCTCCAACTCACAGAAATCCTCCTGCCTCTACCTCTTGAGTGCTGGAATTAAAGGTGCATGCTACCATGCCTGGCCTATTATGGCATATGGCATTTTAAAAACTTTTTTGTTGTTGATTCTCCTCTTCCCAGCTTCCATCTTCCTCCCCACCCCCATCCCTCCCCTCCCCATCTCCACCCATCCCTCCCCACCTCCACCCCTCCCCACCTCCACCCATCCCTCCCCACCTCCACCCATCCATCCCCACCTCCACCCCTCCCCACCTCCACCCCTCTCCACCTCCACCCCTCCCTACCTCCACCCCTCCCCACCTCCACCCCTCCCCACCTCCACCCATCCATCCCCACCTCCACCCCTCTCCACCTCCACCCCTCCCCACCTCCACCCCTCTCCACCTCCAACGCTGCCTCTCCACCCCTGGGAGCTTCCTTTCTGCTTTCTTGTCACACATTAAAAGTTAGGGTTGACATGTAAGAGAGAACATGCAATTTTTGTTTTTCTGAGTCTGGTTCACCTGGCTTTGCATTTTCCAGATTCACCTATTTTCCTGAAATTTTTCATAATTTTATTTTTCTTGACAGCCTAGGCAAATTCCATTGTACATACACAGGGAGTTTCCGTTATCTGTTTATCTAGGCCGATTCGATTTCCTTGATGCTGTGAATAATGCACAGCAGCACACAGATAGGCAAGAACTTCTGCGCTAGACTTCCCAGGTTTCATCAGCCCGGTCACCATGCCTACCCCAAATGGAACATGTATGATAATGTGGCAGGTTGCACTTACTGCTCGGCATTCCTTGGAAAGAGTTGTAGTCCATTCTGTAAGTTTGGTTGAGGTTCTGTGTGACCTGCTCATGGGCTTTGTGAATTGATCCAGGCAGTGGCGCCGACTTTAACTGGACCTCATAGTTCACAACCACGCTGCCTTTGCTGCATAGAGACCACTCGGTTCAGTAAAGTAATTACTTTGTGGCTTATTGCATGGAAAAGCAAAATAGCAGAAAACATCTGGGCACTATTATATTCAAGGAATTGCTAAAAATAAGCCTGTCTTCAAATGTTAATGGACAGCCCAAGGCAAGAAAAGTGATCAGATGAGGAATAGTGAGGGGAACCCACAAAGTTTCCAGGCTCCAGGGAGCCCTTCAGGACACACCAGAAAAACCTGCAATCCTGTCTGCAATCGTCTAGTAATGTCGTTACACTGCTTGCTATCCCATGTGATCCCACTTTAACATTTTCAACTCTCAGAACTACAGATGTATTTCTGTTTGCAAATTTCCTGCACGCATGAGATGAACGCACCTTTGTGTTACCTCACTGCTAAGGAGGTCCATCCGTAAAGGGCAGGGAGCATCATGGTGTCCCTTTTCCGGTTCACCACTGTGGTCTGGCAATAGCTCTCACCTCTACCAGGCTGCTCCAGCTGAGCACCCCACATCCTAGCCCAAGGATGTTTTGTCTCCTTCCCTGGTGTATTGGTTTCTGCCCTCATAGAAAAAGCGAGCAAATTACATCGTTCTTACGTGAACTGTGTCACAGTCACCGATCTGAATCCTGGTAAAATTTTGTAACCCTCTCGGAACTGGAAAATAAAACAAGAGAAAGGCCATGTATCAAAGATGGCTGGGCGATACCAACAATTTACACATACTCTTTATCAGTCTGGGTATGGCTTTATTTTGTGTATTTTGTGGGTGAGGGCATTGACAGGGCTTTGAGGGAGTAATTTCTAATAACGTGTGTCAATTTTTGGAGAAGCAGACAGTGGGTGAAGTACACAGAAGACTGCTCAGGGAAATGCAGAAAAGGATGCAGAGAAGCTGGGGAGGGCGGGGATCAAACTCTGAGTGGAAGGGGAAAGGAAGGAAGGCAGAATGAAAGGGTCCCACACGAAGTCTGACATTTCGATGTCTTTCTAGGACATGTCTGCCAGGCACAGAGCACTTGTATGCATTCTGAGGTGAGGAGCAGAAACATGTTCCTGAGTGTCAGAGGCAGCACTGAAGACTACTTCCTTAACCATAACCAGAGAGTTGCGGGTCAGGAACACCCTCCTGGCTGCCATCACAGTCGCTCGCCACCCTAACTCCACTGTGATTTTAATGAAACCAGTTTCATTCTGGATGATGTGTCTATAATTGTCTTCTGAATATCAATCCCATAATAGGTCCTGACACTCTCTAATGGTGGAATGCCTAGGTCGTGGTGGCTTGTGGACACATCTGTGAGGGATCATCTTGACTTTTGACTGGTGTGGGAAGACCCAGCTCATTGTGGGCGGTACCATTCCACAGGCAGAGGGTCTAGAGCTACACACGATAGGAGCAAGCTAGATGAAAGCTGGCAGCAAGAAAAAGCATGGGTACATTTGTTCCTCTTGTGACCGTGGTTATGATATGACTAGCTTCATGAGTCCCTGCCTTTACTTCCCCAAAATGTCAGATTGTAACCTGCAATTTTAAGCCAGATGAATTCTTCATCTAAAAATAACAACCGAAATGAAACTAGGACACCCAGAAGTCTACATGTGTAGTAGGTCTGGTAGCTGGGTGAGTAGACCGGTGAGTAGACATCAAAAGCTATTCTGTAATCCCACCTTTCCTTAAAAGTACAGAATTCAGTGAGTGATCTGCTATGTAGAACTATCATATGGCAGAGATGGGAATCAGTTGTCCCAGGGCACTGTAGAATCAATATTCTGCCAAGGCACCATGGAAAAGTCACCATTTTTGTGTGGCCCACTGGGATAAGCAGGAACTTTTCCTGACCTGAGGCAGGAGTCTGGCTGTCCTAGCAGTTATGGGAAGTCATTTTCTCAGCCTGAGTGTAATAGTATTTACCACACCAGTGAGAAAGCAAGCCGAATTAGCTCAAGCAAAGCATTCACATTTCAATGGCTTAATCTAATCTCAAGCACCATACAACTGCATATGGAAAATAGTTAACACTTGCAGAGACTTCTCTGTTTTTACCTCAGTGACTATAAACTGTCCCTAGAGTGAATGCCTAATGACCTTCAGAGTAGAGAAGTTTGAAACTCTCTGTGCTCAACCTTGAGTTGGACTGCCCAGTGATGGTAGGATCCTTATCTATGTAGGAAATGCCTGCCCATTGTGGGGGCAGTGCCATCTACTAGGCAGAGTATTCTGAGCTATACAAGACAGTAGAATGCTAGACTCCTGAAGAACAGACCTGAGCTACCTCCCTCTTCTGGACCAGGTTCCCAAGCCTGAGTTGGTTTTAGTGAAGTGATGCCACCAGATCGTATCTGAATCATTTTTACTTGGGGAAGAGGTTCTACTTATAGGCCAAGGTGATGCCCCTCTCCTCTGAATGCTATTTGATTTGAGTACTTCTTAATTCTCCTTCTCAGGTGGGTTTGCATGACTTCAAATCCTTCCACTTAGATTATATGCATGTAAGAGCTCTGTCCACTGGAACGAGCTTAGCTTACTCCACCTAAGCAGTGCCTTGGGCAAGAGACAGCCCAAACCTACCGCTCTTTCCAGGTCAGTCTTGTAGGACCTATAGAGGGCAGAGGAGGAGTTCTTGAGGTCTTCTTGAAATCCTATGTTCAGTCTGACTTTGATTTTTAAAGTAATATATGCTGAAAAACACAGGGCAAAATGTCACTGTCTCATTGGTGTTTGGGCACAGACAATACTGTCGGTAAAGTTGAATACCCGTTCAACCAGTCTCTAAAGAACAATTGCATACCGTCTGGGAGCTGGCAGAAAGGTCCCTGGGGAGGAAGTCCTTTCAGACAACTGCAGGAGTGGCCTGACAGGGCACCGTCATGCTCTTGACAAGTGAGACTGTGGAGACACCTTTCCCGAGGCCAAACATAGCCTTTTTCACAGGAACACAAGAGGTCATTTCCAGCAGGTGTGCACACTGCCATTAACCAAAAGAGAGGAGAGTCAGACATTTGTAGCTTGCAAGTGTCTACACTTGTAGTGTCTATCTTAGCTCAGTTTCACAATGACTTTCTGGAAAGTTCAACAGAATCACAGGAAATTCAAAAAGGCATCCATGCATCAAGAAACAAACCCTTAGGTTAGTGGAGGCAGTCTATTGAATTATTTTTGGGGTAGACATGTTTTATATTACACGACCACTAGGTGTCTATGATGAGTCAACCCCTTGATGTAGTGCAGTGGTTCTCAATCTGTGGGTCACAGCCTCTTAGAAAAACCTCTAGCTCCAAATACATGCGCGTGCGCGCGCGCGCACACACACACACACACACACACACACACACATGGTAGTTTGGGGTCACCACAGTATGAGGAGGGTCACAGCATTAGGAAAGCTAAGGATCATTGATACAGAGTAAGGAGCAGCCAGCTTCTAAGATGACCATTGAGCATCTCTGCCTCTAGAAATTCCCAGCCTTTTGTGGTATCATCTTAGAGAACATGGTAAAAATGATGGTATCATTTAGCATATTTTCTCTCTCTCTCTCTCCCTCTCTCTCTCTCTCTTTCTCTCTCTCTCTCTCTCTCTCTCTCTCCCTCCCTCTCTCTCCATCTTTCTTCTCCTCCCCCCTTTTCCTTCTGGGGAAATTGGCTGCATGGCACAAAGACCTGTCAGGAAGAGACTGGCATGTTACAGAATTAAGGTCTTTAAACCATAACTACTTGGGAACTGTAGTCTGCCAAAAACCAACTGGTGAACTAGAAAGTGGATTTTCCAGCCCAGTAAGACCTTCAGATCAAAATTCCTAAGCTAGAACCACCCACCCCAACCACTCCAAGATTCAAGACCATCTGAAACTTCAAGATTGCATGTCTGTTGTCCTAATGCTAAGAGTAATCTGCTCCATAGAAAGAAATCACAAATGTACAATGAAAATAAATGTCCTTTACATTTCAAGTCAAAAGAATAGCCCAAATGGAGTCTGAACTAGATGAAGACATTAAAAAAGGAAGGAAAAAAAAAAGTTCTGAAAACCTAGATCCATGAACCAGTTTCTAAAGTTGGACCAAAGAGATGTCTTTGGAAGATGCTCTGCAGATGGGTACCCATAGGATGCTACTCAAAAGAAAGTCATCAACAGTTACCAAGTTACAATGGTGCTTTCCAATTAACAGAACTTTTATAGAACAAAAGGGCAGCCTCATCTACAGGACACTGAGTCTTTGGGGACGGTGCCCTGAGACAAAGAGGAAATGGTTAATTTTAGTAGGGAGTTCTCAAACACAAAGTCTAATCATGACTTGATAGAACTGGGCCTAATATCTTGCTTCTGGTTCAGGTATGTGCCTGGTTCCTATTTCCTGACCTATGACACCCCAAAGAAAAGAAGCTGTTGTTTATTACATAGTGAGACCCTTCTCTGCTGCACCCACAGAGGAAAAGGATCCAGTAATTTGTCAGGAAGGGTCTGTCCATATCTTGGGGATCATTTTATCACAACCACCAAGGAAAAATGTGGTCATCATTTAAAGTAAGGTGGCAACTGGCTGGGAAATTTTACTGCTAGCAAATTCATTCTGGGAGGAATGGAGTCATAAAATTACACAGTCACTACGCTTGGCTCCAGTGTTTTGATATAAAAGCCGGCAGTCTGCCTTTCTCCCCTTATGCTCAGTCATCCACTCCCAAGCAACGCAAGTCTCCGTCACCTGTTGTCACTGCTATGCTCACGATGTCGGAGGTTGGGTCAGTGCTGTTTCCTTGAAGTGGAAAACTGAGGCTGTTCAAGTGAGCTTTGACAGACTCCAGGAAGGAGATGTTTTCAAAACTGATCTCAATATCCACGGTGTATTCTTCCTCCACAGGACCACCCACTGCAGCTGAAACAAAAGCGCACGAAGACTAGGACCTTTGCAGAGGCAGGAGAGAGATACTGGTGGGTACCAGAGCAGTGAAAGTTAGTGATACATTCATGCAGATACTGGGCGTGGCCAGTATCTAATGAGCCCTTTAAGAGAAAAAAATATGTTTATCTGCTCTGCTGTCTCCCAACTACTACCCTTAACTTTGACGCCCAAGGCCAAAGGCCATGTGTGAAGAGTAAGATGTGGCTGGGGGAAAACTAGTAGCAGTGACCTAGAAGGAAGGCTCTCACACCTGTGTAGTCAATAAGAGCTCTGATCTCTACCCACAGGAATGAGTTGATGTCTTTATCACATTATGTAGATTGCATACACTCTAAGAGCTGAACAAGTGTGCATATATGCTTGAAAACCTTCTAGAACATTCCCTCCACCCCCACCCACCCCTGTGGTTAACTTTCTTTTGTCCTTCGCTTATACCCAGACACACAGTGTGTTCTTTATTGTTGCTTCATATCCTTCTCACCACCACTTGAATGGTGGTCAACAAAAGTTTGTCGACTTGAAAAGTGAAATGAGAGCTTCCCAGTTCTTCATTGCCTTTCCAAATTGTCTCCAAGTAGTTGAATGCCAGTTCTTCAAATAAATCTGCTCCAAACACACACACACACACACACACACACACACACACACACACACACACACACACCAGCAGGCTATAGATATAATATCTAACCTTTGAATGGTTCCTTTCCAGTTTCCATATCACACCGTGTCCTGACCACCGGTTGCAAGCTCCTGGGACAGAAACTGATTCCTTCCCTTCTTGTGACCTCATTCATCTGTCATGTAGCTCACCATGTAACAAACATGTGGCAAATAATCACTTCTTACTAAGCCTATCTTCTATGTCAAGTCATCATTCACTTCTCTGGGCTAATCACTGCTCTAGTCTGTGCTGGAAAATACTATTAGAATACACAATTAGGGCCAAAGATATGAACTTGGTTACTACTTTATGAAAAAGCTTGAAGGATAACATTGCTTTTTCACACAGAGATATAGAGAATATTTTGTAAAAAGTTAACAAAAAGCATTCCTGTAAAAATTTAAGTAAAATCAGATAACATGACCTGTATTTTAATATGTCGTTAGAATTCTGTATTTTCTTTCTAAAGACAATTGTTTTCCTATGAAATTATAGAGTGTGTTTTAACCATCTGAAGGACTATTGCTGGGAAACACCGAGAAAGATCAGAATAGAAAAGTCCAACGGTTAAATAGTATTGCTGGAAGCTAGAATGAATGTTTCTCTGGAGATACAAAGTACATTCGTCTTAGGATATAAACTTGTCGGAAATTATTTCTTTTTAACATCAGTCTGTTTGTGGCAACGAACTTAAGTTATTTATTTACTTTTTAAGGACCATCTGTGAAGTTATTTTAGGAATGTATTTAATGGGATATTTCCTCCTTACACAAGTAGAATATGATAGGTTTTAAGTTTTAAGTGACATAAGATTGCCATCCTGCCAGTTAGGCATCGAGGGTAAGCGGATCATGAGTTCAATAGCAGCTTCAAATACACAGTGAGTTTAAGGTTGCCCTGGGATCTGGAGACTTCTCCTCAAAAACTAAACTAAACAGAAATTGGAAAGTCACTTATAAAGTCTAATACAGAGTCTTATCTATCATGGCATAGTGACATTGCCTCAAGTTTCCTGGTTTTTTTGTTTGTTTTTGTTGTTGTTATTATTATTTTTTTTGATTCACAAATGTTCTGTAATGAAAACAAGTTTTCTGCAGGGATAGCTAATCTTAATTTGTGTGATTCTAATGAACACACAGTCTTGCCCACTAGGAACATTTCCAATAGGGCAGCTGCACAATATTTACATCTGCCTTCCAGAAGATTCGTTTTCCTGAAAAGTCATGTGACCATGTTTATTCCCTGTGGTAAATTCACTAGCTCAGGGTCCTCCCATGAATGTAAACAGGATTTCCTGGATGGTGGCTGCTCTGGATGGGTGAGGTCAACAACAATCCTATATCATCTACTTTGCTGTTTGTATGGCTAAATTCCAACATGGCACCGATACCTACCTGAGGGTCCTCCCCAGCCCAAAGCCCTCCTTCCTGTGCCCCTTTCAGACACAATGACTGAACAAGTGTGCACGTGGAGAGCAACAGCTACCATGAGTATCTGCACTCCTGGTTAAAGACAAGGTAGTTCTGTTTAGATTTTCATAAAACTGAACCAAAAGCACAAAGCCCCAGGAGTACAGGACCTTGCTACTCAGAGAGAGTAAGCCTTTGGGATTCATGAAGCTGCTAGAACCAAACACTACAGTCCTCTTCTCCCATGCACCTGTCACATTCTCCAACATCTCAGGGAGCTTCAGCATCACGCTCAGGTGATTTATGCATCATCCTTCCCCAGAGGCTGTTGAGGATCAGGAATCCACAGTTCTGCCTCCTGAAGAGGCAAGACTGCTTTTTCAAGGGATCTCGTCATAAGCCCAGGCTGGCCTGGAATGTACTGTGTAACATGGGCTAGCCTCTAATTCATGTTCCTTTTACCTCTATCCTGGCCTAAGTGTTAGGATTGCCAGTGGGTGCCGCCATGCCTGGTTGTTGTCTGACGAAGCCTCATACACTCGCTGCAATTTGGCCATCACAGGCTTGCCCTTGGGTATCACCCATCCTGACCTTGACGGAGAGCTGCTTAGGTGCCCCGTGAAGCAAACTGTACTCTTTATAGTGAGAGATAGGCCTGGATGTCTGCTCTATTAAAACCTTCTTACTGTGATTTTGATGTTCAGGTGGCTGACAATCTGACATTCTAAACCAAAGGGTAAAAGGAAGAAAGCGACCCTGGAGAACGGATTTCAACGTAACAGACTTGCTTTTGCGCCGTTTTGCCTTTTGTGTTCAGTCACCTGCTGCTGCTCCTGATGGCCAATAGGCGCTCTCTCGCTGTGTTCACTTAGCCTCTTGTGTTTGTAAGATTTATTTTTGTCTACTTAAATGTGTGTATGCCATGGACATACAGCGCCCTTGGAGACAGGAAGTGGGAGTCACATCCTGCAGGACATGAGTTACAGGTGGTTATGACCTGCCCAATGTGGGTGCCGGGAACAGAACTTGGGCCCTCTGGAAGAGCAGCAAGCGTCATTAGCTGCTGGGCCATCTCTCCAGTTCCCTGTTTACCCAAATGCACCTCAATAGAGCTGACACAGGTTTCTAGGTATTGCCCTTCAATGATACCAGGTGAAGGCAGACAGAATTAGCAGCAGCAGCAGCAGCAGCAGCAGTTGCTATTTGCTCTTGTCTCGTAGGGTAGAGGGCCAAGAGGGCAAGATGCTTCCTTCCATTTCACAGGCGGCAAAACTGAGGCACAGAGAGAGTTGAGGTAATATCTGAGCTAAGATTTAAAAAGATGTTTTGCTGACCCCAAAGTCCATTTGCTTTTAATTACACCCTGCTACAACTCTGATGGGAGAAGAGAAGAAGAGCAATAATTTCATAAAGCACTCTGAAATACATTATTACTAAATATGGCCTTGTAATAAATTAATATTCCTAATTATTATTTTAAAAGCCAAGTTCGAAACCGAAATTACTAGTGGTAAAGGAGTAAATGTGGCAGTCTTGAAAACTTTCTGCAAGTCTGTCGGCACCACAAATGTCTCAGGTATCCAAACTCAGGGCAAAGGCTTTTGACCACCAGCCCTGCCGACATCACATGTATCTGTTCCTTGGCTCACTGATATGCTTGTAGGATAACCATGCACTGGTGCACACTTCTCAGTGCCATGCTAGATGCCCCGGCACTGAGTTAATAAAAGAATCAAAGTCCTTATGCCAGGCAGTGCTGGTGCACGCCTTTAATCTCAGCACTCGGGAGGCAGGGGCAGGTGGATCTCTGTGAGTTCAAGGCCAGGTCTACAAAGCTAGTTCTAGGACAGGCTCCAAAGCCACACAGAGAAACCCTGTCTCAAATAAATAAATAAATAAATAAATGAATGAATAAATAAATAAATAAATAAATAAATTCCTTTCTCCATGATAGCCCCGCCCCCTCAGCTGGTCAGTTTGTATCTTAGTATCAGACAGTTCTTCATGAAGTAGAGTGAGGAAGCAGAGGGACAGGGTAATAGGATAAAGATGATGATGGTGATGATGATGATGGTGGTGATGGTGGTGATGATGGTGGTGATGGTGACGATGATAAAGGATGGCTATAAAAGACCCTTTGTAAAGCCCCAAGCATGGAGCAGAGACTCGAATGAGGTGAAAGAGGCACCAGAAAGCCATGAGGAAAACATCACTCTGGGGAGAGCAAATGAACATAGATCCTCTGAGTGACTTGCAGCCCTCTTGCTATCAAGGTTCCAGGAACCCCAGCAAGCAAGTCAACTGACCCAGCAGCTCATGTCTCAGTGTGGTACCCTCTTGTTTCCCTCAGGCAGATGCAAAGCCCTGAGATAGGGATGCCAAACTCTAGGGACTGGAGATGACTCAGGGGTTAGCTGCACTTGCTGCTCCCGCAGAGGACCTGGATTTGGAGCCCAGCGCCCACATGTTGCTCACCACCATGTGTCACTACAATGACGGGCATCTTATGTTCTCTTCTGACCTCTTCAGGCAGCAGCACATATGTGAAACGTACACACATGAAGGAAAAACACCTCCGCACATAGAGATAAGACAAATAAATCTAAAAACAATTTAAAAAGAAAAAGGAAATACCAAACTGTGCCTTTCTATCCCCTCATGAACCCGAAGACCTCAGAGCCTGGGAAAGTGACATTCTTTGTCTTGCTCTTGGCTACAAGGGACTCAGGAGGGCCAGAGCACAGCTCTTTGGGACCTTCACCCTTCTCTGCTACCTGAACCAGCTGCTAGCAGCTCACTATATTTTCTTTGTCTCCATGTCCTTCACCCTTGTGTTGTTTGTCTGGATTTTTCTGGCTCACACTGCCCTGAGTGGAGGGTAGGACATTCCAGGTGTCACT